GACGATTAGCCCGTCGTTATTACAATACTGCAACGCGTATGTTCATATTTAATGCCCAATTGTGCCTAAAAGATTTAATAGTGCAATAATAACCAATTTAAAAATATAATTTATATTAGAACAGTAATAGCATTACGTTTTTTACTTGAACATAAACAGCTTTGACACACAACTTTGGTATCAAAATTCAATTATCTGAGTAATTAATACTTAATGTACTCGTAATGTCTCGAATAAATTGTAGAGTCAATTATAAATCCACAACCAGGTGAAGTGTACGGTACCTATCTACCTAAGTACTAATCATCGCAATATTCCTGTTATGGGTACGTAACAATCAATGCAGTATGAGAATAGTTAAAGCAATTTGTGTTTTTATTAGACTTAGGGTAGGTATGTAGGTATTATTGTTTGTGAATTGTTTAAAAAACAAAGGAAAATATCTTATATTTATAAACAAGCAATGAACTATCCATAGTATATTGAGATGATAGGTACATTCAGATCGACATAGAAATCTCATTTCAAAATAGTTACTTCCGTGTTTTGCCCCCATTAAATTTAGTTTTTGTTGAACGAAACTTTAAACTTTATCATATCATATATTATTTTGCATATGTAATATAATAAATAATATACAATACAAAATGTTTTATTCCCGAATGAAATAAAACAGTAGAACAAGATGAATTCCCAACATCAAACGTTATCTGCAGATGTACACAAACTGATAGTGACATGTGACAATCAGCGATGGCGGAGTCAACTGCAATCCGGGGCCAATTCGTCAGACCCGCGGCTTCGGGTCCCGGGAGGGCAAGCACGTGCTGATCACTGACCTGCCTAATTTGTAACACGTCCAGATGCTGATAGAATATATATTAAGTGATAAATGCTTTGATGGAAAGGACTCTACGAAAAAAAAATCGAGGTAGATAGTTACCCAATACAAATAGCATGTGATATATAATTTTTAATCTTAATTCTATAAATTAATAGTTTGGTATGAATAGGTATTTGAAAGATCATGCGTTATGAATGCAATGTGAACGTGATTTGATTATTTCTTTATTACTTTAGATATAATTTGTATTAAAGTACTCACATCTACTTGAAAATTCTTCCACCAGCTGAAAAGTAGTAAGTATACTCTCCTTCATAAAAATAGGATACTCTCCTACATAAAAGTAGGATACTCCCCTACATACACATAGGTTGGAAATGTTATTATTCCGCCCGATCAATTTCGAAATTAACCATAAAACATCTCTATTTATTCTCCATCCTCTGCTGTTATAACCAGTTATATGTACAACATATTTTTTTTAATCTACATTTCTATGACATCCAACGTTAAATAAGGCTAATCCATTCTAATATTGTAAATGCAAAAGTGTGAATGTCTGTTTGTAACATTCTAACGATTAAATCATGAACGTATCTATTATAAATTAACTTTCTAGTGAAGATAAATTTAGTGACAGGAACGGATATAAGATCTAAAAAAAACCTTATAGTCGCGAGAGTAACAATTGTAAATACCTAAATAAGGAACTAATTAAACAAATACATCTTATTTAATAAACTCATAAAAATATAAATAAATAATATGAAGTAAATAACTTACAAAATTCATGTGATATTATAACTAGCCGACTCGCACAACTTCTTCTGCAACACTTTTTAGCTATTATTCGTTGCAGTTCCACACCTATAGGTTGCAGCGTGATATTATATAGCTTCAACAAATGGGCTACGTAAAACTTAAGGAATTTTCAAAGTCGGATAAGTGTTATCCCCGAATTAACGCCGAACATCAAAATTCACAAATTTTACCTTTTCATAATATTTATTATTAAATAGATTAATCTATAAAATTTTTGTGCAGGTGAATTCGTTAGGGAGATATTTTTAATGGAAACTGTTTTCCATCATCCCATGGGGATTACGTATTGTATTCGTGTGATAGGATATAAAAACGTTTACCTACCAGTTTTCCACTACGCTGAATCAACATTGAACCCATTCATCGGTGCAATGAAAATATTGCCCGTTTATCTTTTACTCCCCATCCCAAACCTCTCGGTTTAACAGACGGGCTCTGCAGCGACAGAATTCATTTATTGCAACAAATGCATGATTTCACATCCGTTGATATGTGTAATCGTAATTTCGTATATATATCACTATTAAACGCATTATATATATAGGTACCCATATCTAGTAATAATGAAATCTATACCTACTTATAATCATACTGTGAACACAGTTCTTAAGGTTTGGTTTCATTCTTAGGAACTGTTGTTCTTTGTTGTTGTTGTTGTTTCTACCTGGCACAAAGAACTGGCTTAGTCTGTGCTATGAATGCGATGATAATTTGAAACCACGAAAACACAGATCCAAGAACAATAGATCCAAGCCAAGGCATTTCTTATATAGGACCAGAAAACCTATCTGGCGAATGGTTTGTTAGTAATGAGCGAATAAAGATCCCCATTCCTAGGATAGTATCGTGTCAGGTCGAACTAACTTCAGAACGAAATAGGCTAACTCAAGTAACATCAGGGCACCATTTAAGACTGATAGATAATCATCTATCAGTCTTAAATGGTGCCCTGTGAGCGTATACCGAAGACGCGAGCGGTTGCACCATTCATCTATTTAAAAAACCTACTTCTTAAGCTTCAACTCCACTTCTCCAGGAACACGTAAGAGAGTAAGTTACCTAGATATTGCAGAGGCATGCCGGTCGGCATTTCATCATTCAAGATGCATGAAGCACCTAGGTAGGTACTTGAGTACTGTGGTACCTAACAACTATACCTAGAAACTATGTATAATTAATACGGTCTACATGTCTACGACTCTAAAATCAGTGGCTATATCGGAAAGTAATGGTAGGTATAAAATTATTTGGGCCACACTGCAGTATTTTTTTTACACTACGATGGTGGCAATCAAGCATGCGGCTCTTCTGATGATAAATGGTTACTACGGTAACCATTAAGAGATGTCATCGAAAACCACTACAGCAGCGAGTCTAGTAATAAACGTAACATTAATTATATTATTTATATTAAATGAGTATCCATTGCAATGTGTTGAATGCATCATTAGCAAATACGTAAATAAAAGTTTAATATATAGGAAGAAGTAATTTACAGATTGGCAAAAGAATAATTTTCCTAATATATTTTCTTAACAGGTTCAGTAGCGACATCTTTTGCATAATACTCGTTAAGAACTGATGAAACAGCGCCATCTAGTGCCAAATAGAGTGTTCAGATTTTGCTGAGTATTTCTGATTTAGTTATACTATTCATTGATAGGTGGCTCTGGATTTGAAGTTAATTCTAAAATTATTAAATATTATTGATGCAATATATTCTACTAATGGTTCACGCTAGCGAGGTACTAGTGGAAGATGTTAAGATGAGGTCAGGTCAGTAGCAAAACTTGTGAAAGCCACTAGCAATATAACACGATGGTTTCCAGGAGGAACCGCGTGAAAATCAACATGATAATATGGTACATTGCTAACAATAGGGTTATTAGACCATAATCTACTTTCCCCCTATTAGGTATTAAATGTAGTTTTATAAAGTCCTGTTAGGAGTGAAGATTGGTGAAGTAATCACTGATTGTGAATTTAGCCAAATATAACACAGATGAAATTGCGATTATTTCTTTTCTAAGATGCTAAAATAAAACTTTTCGTTAAAACTTTAGCAATATATTTGTAAAATTTTATACAGTATAAAAAACCAAAACCAACAAATCCTGTAAAATAAAATTTAAAAATGTTTTTGCAATATAATCAATAAAAAAAATATTAATCACAGATGGTAATAGTTAACTTTATAAAAGTAACAATATAAAAAAATCATAATAATATTATTAAAATCTAATTTGCTATATTATTAGCCTAATTTCAAATAATCAATATTGAGCAACCATTTTTGTAGTTAATGAATAAAGTCGTTTTACTCAGTTTTCTCTATAAGTGGAGTAATTTTTAGTATTCTTGAGCACGTCTTTTTATCAAAACATTGTTTAATTAATAAGACTCCTATTATAAGATAATAGTTATAATATAATTATTGTAACCGTTTATACAAAATGTGCGCCAATACCTCCACAAAAGTACATGCCAAGATTTACTAAAATTATATTGTGTACAGCTGGTAGAGAAATAGAGTTTATAAATGCTTAATGATATATATAAAAAAATTATATATAGTATCAATTGTAACAATATACTAGAGTAGCAGACACATATAAGAGGTGGTATTATTAAGTCTTATATTTATATTAATGTACCTATTATGAAAAATCTTACATAATTTATAATTAATAAATAAGCATTAATTAAATAAGAGAATAACAATATAAAAAACAGCAACCATATAGAAATTGGACAGTCATAAAAGTACAGTCATAACGTAAAAATAGTGTTTGAACATTCATGCGAACTTAACGCGGGATATGAAAAATGTCTTTTATATAAAAGGTTCTTTTTAAAGAAACTTTAATCATCACAATCGAGTGAGTTTTAAATGTAAAACAAAAGATAATTTTTAGAAGGTAAGAAAAATCTATATGCGGCACGTGTGTGACATGTGATAAGAAATAATTTACATTTTTTAAGTACATAAAACATTTTACGTATATTCTAACACCTAGTTTGAATATTATTTTTTATAATTTAATAACGCAAAATAAAATCGAAATTAAAAATGAATAAATGATAAATAAAATACAGGAATATCAACAATGTCATGGGCAGAAATTTATCTAATATTTATGTTTCTGTTTCATTTTATGTTTTGAACTAAAATTTTTATTTTATAAGTAACAGGGTCAAATAGCCTTCTTCATTTTTCGTAAAATCTCGAACACTGTTTCGGTTGTTTAAACAAGAATTCGAGGTTTTACGAATTCATGATAATTCACAGGATATCCCTCAATATATCTTACCAATTAATACCTCTTGCAATTCAAAATCCTTATGACAAGGTGTTACACCTATATAATATTTTAGATAAAAAATCGTCAAGCTACATATTGGCTTAAATATTATAATGGACAGTTATCACAAGGGTTATTTTTAATTCAAAATAGATAAAAACACTACTTCTATTTTATTAAGTCCATGAAAAACAATACCCTATTAATAATAATCATATTTATAAAATTATAACTAGCTAACTTATATAATACTTGAACTAAAATATCCTCATGGTATTCGCGCAGCCGTGGTTCATTCTGTACTGAACGTACATCATCGCAGTGTTATGCCAGTAGTAAAGAGCACCGAGTACTAAAATGTGCCACCACTGGTGAGAGTGGCCGATGTAGTCCACTTTACCAGGGAACCAAACTTCTGGGATCTGCAATTAACAAATATAATCCAATTATAATAGTACTACAATAATATCCCTGAAGAATTCACATTCAGCGCCATCTAATCCCACGGTAAGCAGAGCTTGTTATGAGTACTACATAACTGATATAAATACTTCGATATATCTTTGTTTTATAAATACATATATAATATACATAGAAAAAGACCGATACAATCATACGTGAATACGAATATTTGTACACAGTGCGAAGAATCAAACCCGTGACCATCGGAAGTAAAGCGGTGGAATGTAAAGCAAAACTGCTAGGTCACCGAGGTCAACGTCAGTTTTAAATTAACAGTCTATGGGTTTCAAGACAACCCTATCTGAGTAAATTCATTTAGCATTGTCTGTTTCGAGTTTGTTGGTTTGAGTGAAATTGTTAATCTTCCATATAATTAGTCATTGTTCTCATAACACTATTTATATTTCATTAAGTCCTTAAATGCGTATATTATGAATGCCTTACCTTAAATGCATATATTGTGAATGCAGTCCCACTAATTATGTACATTCCTATAACTCTTGGGAAGAATATCTGAAATATAAATATTATATGTTTGGTTTAGTTACCTACAAATGTCAACTTTAACCTTATTTATGGATTCTATCAGTTTCATTTTTAGTACGCAGTAGTCGGTACGAGTCATAGATCCTTAACAATATGGACAAAAATAAGTTATTTGTACCACCTTATACAACTTGGTATGAAACTTAGTAGTGTGTAGTAGTAAATATAAAAATTCAATTCAATTTTATGTATACTTTAGTATATTTTATTATTTTAGACCTGAGGTCGGGATGGGCTTGTTTTTAAACCATAAATCGTCTATACAGAAAGACGTTTTTATATACACTCGCTCACTTAGTAATAAATAGGCAAGGAGTAAGCAGGAGATAGGCATTACAACATTAAAAAATGTTGAATATAGTTTGATACTATTTTAATGGGCAATAATGTTTATTGTTAGCAGAAATATTGTTGTAAGCCACTCATGCATAAACGATCTATCTAAAGAACATAAAAACCAGCGCTCATAAGAATATCCTTCAAATCTTGTTTCTGACGGGTCTAGGTAGCGAAATTTGAAAAAGGGCGAAGGGCATAATAGATCTATTTAGGTCGATTGCTGCTGCACTGCGACCTGACCTGTAGACCTAAAGATCTAAAGCACCTGACAATAGGAAAGTAGAAATATCCAACTGACCTGAACCATAGGATTATCAAAACCACCCATGGTGTAGGTCCAGTGCAGCGTGGGCAGCACACCGTACGCAGCCCATCCGATGAACACGCACATCTTCACCAGATACGGCACATTCAGCCTGGGTATTTGCAGTGCCATCGCAACGGCGAATATCACCGTCACTGACGTCATGTAGAACATTTTCAGCTCCTGTAAACATTAAGTAATTATAATATCGTATAATAGTACTTTGTAATTATTTGCTCTGGAGACAATCGCGACCTTAATTTCGCAAGCTTTTTCTTACATAAATATATTGTGAAAATAATTTAAAAACAAATAGGTACCAGTTTGCTTGAGACGCCTTCCGATCTATATAGTATTACAACGTTAGTAGTACAACAACCAATTCTCTAATAGGACACGGTGAATATGTCAGTGCAGTAAATTCTAATTAGGTAATAAGTATACTCCAAGTAGAATAAATCTATTCCATACAAATTTTATAATGCGAAACTATATTTCTTTATATGTTTACTCGTTAGCTTTTTACTACCAAACCGCTAAAAGGATAATATTCATGGAAAAGATAGATTGTGACGAAGACCGACATATATTATTTTTATCTAAAAAAAAGTACAGACAAATTCGCGAGTAATTACTTAATAGCCGATATTCTCAAATTTGTTTGTTTTTTACTCGTGAGTTTTAAGACTCGAAGAAATCACACTACACGTTGTAATAATTTATGAAATTTATAGTAGTATATGAAAAGAAGGGGTCCTATCTGAATCGGCGATTGAGATAGGATTGCATATAAACCACATGTGGTAAAACTGATAGTACATAGAAAATATATTTATTTTATTTGTCTGTCATACCAATGTGTACGTAATTGCTGCAACTTTCTACGTGCTGACAAAAGGCCACTGTCGCGATCACTCGTGGTGTTGTGGTGTCGTAATACGCTCGTTCATTACACACATTTACGATGCGCAAACGCATATTGATATACGTTAAGTGCTCATTGACAGGCTAAATTCATCGTCGGCGGCATATAATCCAGTAAGATTACTAAACAATTGAATCAATGTCAGTACTTATTGTAAACGTAGTTCAAGGTTACGTTTCGTAGTCAGTATAAATTTATATAATAACATTGAAAAAGTAAAAGAAAAAGAACTCCCACATATATAGATAGAGCTAGACGAAGCATGTAGTTCAGTTTATATGAAAACTTTGTATTACTAGTTGTCTACAACATTTTAATTGTTGTTGGAAGTAATTGATAATAATGGAGACTAGTTGACCCGTGGAGGCCCTCTGGAAACGAACGTGGTTAATTTCAACAAAATCCGCCACGATGAACGTTAGTCGAAGCATTAGTTAGCATGAAGTCAGGTCAGTTATGTCCTGACTTCAGACTGCGCGTACTATCATCCACTGGTGCCCCGCAAGCCGATTCCGTTACATTTTATTTGTTTATTTAAATTTTATTGAAATTTTTATACAATAGGCGGCTGAATGCTAATAGCATTCTCTACCAGCCATCCTTAGGGAGTGCAGAGATACTCTAAGGCGGTTGGTTAGTTTACTAAATAAAATTGTATAATATATTATTATAAATACATATATTTTTCCACTATAAAATCTAATTTTTAACAGGTGCACTATCAGCTTATTTCCTATTAATTAAGATTTATGAATTTTCTCCTTTTTTAAGTAGATTAAAAATATATTTCCGACCGTGCATAACAGTCCCCAAACTAAATTCTGTTGTCATGTAATGTAAATACATAAGAATATAAGTATTTATTTATTTCATATATACTTATGGGAAATGCTAACTTATGTACAATAGTCCATGATTTTTAGTTTATTTTATTCTTTGTCGCGTTTCTTTCTTGACCACGAGTCTTGTATAAAGTTAGTTTAGAAGTCGTTAGAAACGCGGTGAAAGTAAACCACAAAAATGGCACTGCATGGAGTTATAGAAATTTCGTTACACCAGTTTCAGGGTTCCGTATGAAATAAAAAAGACACTACATATTGTTGTTTGTTTATTAGATCTCTTAGCGTCATACCTTAGCCTTATGTAGGTACTGACGACTATACTTATATATTCTGTAGTATTACTACAACCCACAGACAAAGAGTATTTACATTTGCATGTAAAAGACGTAGTTTACCTAATTTTCTACATTCATGCTCAACTTCAATAGTTTTTAAGAAGATTATCAATGCCTGTATAATTAAAATATATAAAAAAAATATTCAATTAAGATTATGAACAAATAAGAAAACATTATATAACATTATAATTACCGCAAATGAGAATTTTTAAAATATATAAATAGATTATATTCACATTAACATATTTAAGATTTTGTTCCACAAGAAAACCGATTTGAACTGTGACGAAATCAAGAACCTCTTTCTCTTTGTATGACGATATTTTACATACTACTGCCCCATTTATGTTAACGTTGTTTAAGTCAAATTCCTCACATGATAGTTGTATTTGTAAGACAAACTGGCCTTCACTAGTCTTTATAAGCGTATACCCAGGGTCAATGACTTATGCAAACATCAACTTCAATAACAATTTATAAAGGTATAACAACCAATCAGTAATGGAAACAGAAGAAGAAAATGCTTTCCATTGGTAAGTATTTTTCTAGGTAGAGAAAAGAGTACCTGTTGGTAAGAATTACTGTTCGGTACAAAGCTACTCTCAATATTATTTTAATTATACGTTCTAAACTTTTACATTATTTTTGTCTACATATAGATACAATATAAAAAACTTTCGGTATGATAGAAGTAACGAAGAGAATCGTTTGAACAGAACACAATTACGTAGATCCCATAAAATGTATGGCATGAATTTTACAAAGATTATACAATATGTTAATAATGAAGTTATTCAACATATTTATGTATTTCTACGTATTTATTTTGTTTACATTATATGTATACAGATACTACAGACAATATATATCATATTTTTTTGTCTGCCAATCTAAACATATTACATTATGTTAGGTTACTGTCACGCAGTCATTATTACCTCAGTCTTTATAGTAATGTTATAGGTCTAACAATAATAATGACGGCCTCGCTGCGCTTCCCTGGTTTAGCACACCGTCTTACTTCCAATAGGTTAGATTCCGATTATAATTGTAATGGTGTGTTATCTATATAACTTATAAATGTATTTTTATCAGTTTTCCCATAACACAAGGTCTGCTTAGCTTGGAACTAGACGATTCTGTGTAAATTGTCCTCGTGGGTTGGCTTGGTGGTGTATATATTATTATTATTAATATATACACCATCAAGCCAACCCACGAGGTCTCCATGTAAACCATAGTTAATTTCTAGTGAATTTCAAAATATAGGCCAGGTGACCTAATTTCATCCTCGCCATTATCACTCTACTCTCTCAGGTATCAGCCAAAAGTGGTATTACAATTTATTATAACTCATAAAATAAAAACCCATAAATATCGTTAATTTAACTATATTTCTCAATATATTCTTACAGGGATATGTAATCAGGGAACATATCAAGTGTCGTGTTCATAACATCGACAGTTAATAATCCCTCTCTCGGATAATAGCCATAATGGTATGTTGTCATATTGTAATGACAATTTAAATATATGATATATGAGGTCTTTTCTAAATCAATAGACACACTTATAATATCAGTAGAATGTTTTACAAAATATTGTACAGCTTAGGAATGATGGATGTGACCACTTTGTTTCTACGAAAAGATAGATATATAAAGAAAATTCTACAGTTTATTATAATATGCCCCTTAGGACTAAACTAACAGAATACTGCATCTCTTATAAAAACATTGACAGGTATTAGTGAGAGTCTAACGGTCAGCCTATGGCTGCCACTTTCTCCGTCTTTTGAATTGGAAAGTAAAAAAAAAAACGCAAAAGTTTAAACTCTTATTTCTTTCGTTGATGCTTATAAAATGGGTTATAACTTCTGCATTAATGTTGTATTACAGTTTTAATAGGAATACCAACCAACAAGGCGATGTTTTGTAAAGAGAGATTTTACGCAATACGATATACTTAAATATATTAAAGTGACATTTTATTGACACTAGAAAATTCCAAAATATATAAATGGTATTATTCATAATAGATTTTCATTCATTATATTTACTTTCAAGATGCCAAGTAAACACCCTAAGGTAAACTAACCCACTTGCATCCTTTCGTAACATCATCATCTAAAGATTTTTCGACTTTGTTATTCATTATAATATTCAAATTATATTATTATTAACATCTTATAATCTGATTAACGTATTATCATTTTATATAACAAATGATTTCATTATCGTATTTAAATAATTATTGTGTTGTATAAGTATAATTATGGTAGTCACGTAATATACATGTTTTAGTGCTAAGATAAATTGTTATTTCTGTATGCTGGTATGAATACAATTAATTTCATTTAGTATCTAAAAAGTGTAAGTGTATGTGTATAATGTAAGAGTATTAACAGAGACATGAACATCATAGAATGCACTGCCGTGTAGTAAAATAAACAATAAAAACGCAACATTGTGGAAAAGTATTGTTGGTAAAGGCAACTAGTGATTGATTGCTAACAATGTACCCGATCAGGTAAATACATCAACAATGAATGACCATGTATTTTTTTGGTTTTCGTCAGGTGGCTCCTTTCTATAAATTATAAAGTTTCCAATCCATCGTAAAATATAAACACGCTGTATTTGTGGTATATAAACGTATAATGCTCATGCATAAACTACTAAAGAAGGCAATAAATTGAATAATTCGTTGTTGATATTTAAAATTGCACTCATATTCCAACTTCATTAAGTTGAAATTCGACTATCAATTCAAGGGTAACCTTCATAGTTCATATTACGTGTTTATACTAAGCACTACTTACGTAATTACACCAAAACGCGTAGTATACTCCGGATGTATATATGGCCAGCAATGAAAGCGCTATTCCAAATAAGTCGTACATCAAGAAAGTGTTATAGTCAGTCTCCGAGCGGCAAGAGAATGTGTGGTACAATGCCGAAAGTGCCATACATATCTGAAACAAATGAAATACAATTTTATATATACAAATATCAATTAACTGTAAGTGCATAACTTCATAATAGCTTGATATATTTGGCTAATTACGAAGGACAACATTAGTATGAAAAAAAATGTGCAGACCGCACGCAAATGAACTAATACGTTTTTAGTTAAACTGAAATTATCGATGATTGTTATGATATAGTCATGTATAGGATTCGTTGAAATAAATCTTCTGAGCGTTATTAATGGGGAGCTATATGTAAATATTAACGAAATTTAGTCTTTATAAACATGCTCTATTTTTATAAAGACTAAATTATACGTGAATTTAGTATTTATAAATTCATGATAAATGGTATATCGACGTTAAAGAGACTGCCCTATATCGACGTTAACAGGTAAAACAATTATTATTATTATTTTATATGTATGCTAGTCTGCAAGTTAAATATTATATGGTCCATATAATAGTGCACGAAATTAATAAATATAAAATTTTATAAGAGCCATCATATTCATAGTCTACAATCATTATTCATTTCCTACCGTTCATCTTCTTGTCAATTAGTGTTGACGTTATGTTTAAATTGAAAGACATAATGAAGACAAAAACTGAATCCTATTGATTCATTTTTACTAGGTTATAGAACCAAAGGTCAGTACCTATATAAACGTTATCGATTTTGATGATATAAATACTACGAAGTTTACCTGTAATTGACCAAGCACACGGAACAACGTACTTGCATATTAATTCTTAATGCGAATTGTAGTAGTGGTGTAGTTACGTTGTGAAATAGAAATAGAAAATCATTTATTCAAATAAACTTACATTGAAGCACTTTTTAATAGTCATCACATTTTTTTTTAATCTATCGCTCATTCGGAATGCTGTCTCATCATGTTGTATAGTAGGTACCAAAATACTTGTAAATATTACTTGTTTGAACATGGCCAATTTTATGAAAATATTATAATAACTAGCTACTCGCCCCGGCACGGATGTACATGTATTATATATGTATATAAACCTTCCTCTTGAATCACTCTGTCTACTAAAAAAACCGCTTCAAAATCCGTTGTGTAATTTTAAAGATTTAAGCATACATAGGGACGGACAGACAGCGACTTTGTTTCATACTATCTAATAATGATAATATAAACAAGACTGTAATTCACATATTTTTAACAATAGGTATACGACAATTCTTAAAAATATTCTGTATTAATTTTTGTCGGTTTACTACTATGTTATTTTTTATATCAAACTAATAGACACTGTATTAGTTTGATATAAAAAATAACGTAGGTATATTAAGTGTTGTAACTGACTAATGAAGAAATGTTTTATATTCTAAATTTGTATTTAAAATTTATAGTCTTTTGTAGATTCTTGTTTTGTTATTTTCATTTCTATTCTGTTATGTCAGTAGTCTCTATTAATATATATTTTTATCCGTTTACCTAGTCTTTTTTCTTATTACTACATGAATAAACTACAACATTAAGCTAAATATTAGTTAACGTAATAGGATACAGAAAGCATTTAATTTTATCTAGTAGATAAATATTTTTAAAGGCATATTTTATTCTCAAATAAAGTGATTAAATCTACTACCTATATCTAGCTTAAATCTACTACATATATGTACATACAAACCATAGCATGGGCAAGTCATAGGAAAATAGATACACACAAATTTACTATGTAAGTAAAGAAACTTTAAGGGTAATATATAGTAATGATAATAATCGTCTCTTAATTCTTTCATAGCATGGTAATTCGGAATAATAACTTATTTTTATTGTCTTAAATGTCATCAGGACGGAACTCACTAGCTCTAACTAACGGACCAGCAAAAAAAGTATCCAACAACTTACACTTCAATAAACGGTATTTGTTCATTTATAGAAAACCGGTTACACATTAACAAACGGTTTTCATTCGTCGATACAAAACCAGTTTTCGTAAAGAAAATAGGTTCATGTAATTATATTTACATTTAAGATTGACGTCAAATAAATTATTTATAAACAATTGCAGCTGAATCGAGATATCAATAACGGAAATAACACTATTATCTCTAAATGAATCTATCAATTTATTATTACATGTAGTCACGTATTTTCATGGTCATTAAGTAAAATATCTGTTTTTTTTCAATACGAAGATGGCAGTCAAGCATACGGCCTATCTGATGGTAAATGGTTACCGTGACCTATTTATATTAAGTATGTACATGCTTACTAAGAGAAATTTATCGTTGGACGTTCTTAAAGAAGGCAGGAACAACTAGCAAGTAAATAACATGATTCGTAATTTGATATAAAAAAGTACATAGATAGATCATAATGAACGAATCCACGTGTAAGCGGCACGTGTTGTCGCAGGCTACAATAAATAATATATCTTCTTTTACCGTACTTAGCTATTTTAATACAGATTCAGTTAAAAAGATATTTATGTAACTTCTAAACAAAATATGGCTAGACCGATATAATTTGGTTTTTAGTTTTACATTGAGACGGAGATAATAACCATTGACTATATTAACTATATGACATTGTATCAAATTTATATATTGAATTACAATCGACATTCCTCTCTACACACTAGAATCTAAGTAGTCTCTGAGAGTGCAATTTCAGAAGAGCTTGCTCCCGCGTACACTTACATTGTAGAATGAACTACCTGCCGAGGCTTTCTCTAAAGATTACAGCATGATGGTTGTCAAAAATGTTATACTAAGGATTCCCATGGCACCCCTGGTGTTTCAAGTGGGATACATATAAGTTACCGTAACCGTTTACCATCAGATGGGCCGTATGATTGTTTGCTCTCATCGCAGTATAAAAAAATACTTAACTACCGATTATACTATACTTAATATATATAATAGGTGTTAGAAAGTAAAACTAGATTTCATGTTCCATGGAGAAAGTATACATCTATTAAATGAATGATCGTTTCGGAACGTATACTATTTAATCAAATGATATAGTATAAAATACAATACATATTTTTTATTTAATTAGAACTATATAATATTGATAGACCTGATAGAAATATTTATAAATATATATATTCTAATTTGGAACTTAATCATATTTGATGAAACATTATAAAAAAATATATACGTTTCTACTTTTATACCGATTTTCTTTGTAATAACGCATACTACAATAAAATAAACTCAGTATAAAAATGCCCACCTCTGCTATTGTTTAGCAGATTTGAAGAAAATCGTAAAGTACTCCCTTTATGGCTATCAAAGTGAATTAACTACAGTTTAATTTCTCAATTATTTTAATATAATTGACTATGTATCTTTTATCCCATACAACAAGTGAAGTCATGAGAAATATTATACTATATACGGATATGTAATATCAACCTCATCAACAGTAATTAAATATTACACAAGACCTATTTTGGGTACTAAACTGTGTTGTCCTTTTCTTGTAAATGTGCAATTAGCTTGAAATAAAGTACAAGTCACAAATTAAAAAAGATATAAGTCAAAATGGATTTGTACAAGGCATTATCTTTAATGAACACCACAATAAATCTATATAGCTATTCGTAAAATGATTTGCAATACTTGATTTGATGATTGTATTATAATATGTACTTTCACTGGGAGAAAAGCAGGTCGCACATCTGAGGCGTCATGGCCCAGCATTCGAGATCGTCGACGCGACTCGCGATGGGTATTTCGTAATGTCGCGACCATTGATGTATTTACTACAATGTGAGTGCTAGATAATAATAATTATAATCCCAGGACAATTCACACAGTGCCGTCTAGACCCAAGTTAAATTAGCTAAAGCTTGTGTTATGAGTACTAGATAACTGATACAAATACATAGATATATATTTTTTTCGTAAATACATACATATTATACATAGAAAACACCCAAACCGATACAAACAATCATACTCATGATTACAAATGTTTGTGCCGTGCAAAAAATCGAACCCGTGACCATCGAAAGTAAGACAGTGTACTAAACCACCGAGGTCGTCGCGATTAGCTGAGTATCAGTTAAATTCTCATATAGAAATATAAAGATATTTATATCTGGTATTAGCGTATTCTACATGTATGACCATATGTGAGAAAAAACATTGTGAAATTTTAGTCATTAACACTTATATTATTCATATATATGTTATATCAATGGGAATCTTTATAAAATTTGTTATGTACATTACATAACAAATTTTATAAAGATAACTCATTTATAGCATCTGGCATGTGAAGTGTGGCGTCATCACCACAAAATTACATAGCGACCGAGAAAGACGTGTTCTCTAGTATTCTCATGTATTTAGTTCAATGGTGACAACTGGCGACACGTAACTCAATTGCGAAGTTCGAAGAAAAATATGTGAAGATGAGAAGATGCATTCTTCAAAGTACAGAAAAAATCTGAGGAAACATTAATATTTCGTGGTAATATATATCTATCCTTACTCCTTACTAATATTATAAATGCGAAAGTAACTCTGTCTGTCTGTCTCGCTTTCACGCTAAACATACTGCACTGATTTAAATGAAATTTGGTATACAGATAGTCTAGACCCTGAGAAAGGACATAGGTTGTAAAGGATTGAAAGGGGGGATGAAACGTTCTATGGACGTAAAGATAGAAGCTTGAAACTTATTTAAGTCTTTGACTGTCAATATGACATTAAAAAAATTGTAAGAATTTTATCTATATAATAAAAAAAAAATTGGGGATGAAATGGAAATTTCTCATTCGTGCTCTATTCCTTGCGAACGAAGTCGTAAGTACAGCTAGTATTACATATATAATATAAACAGGGCCAGATTAAACATTAGGCAGAGTAAGCAAATGCGTACTGGCCCCGAATCGACAGGCTTTGGATGCGATTCGTAGCGTAAATTAGGATAAACAAAACTTATGTTTTATTCAAATACATGCCAATCTAAATTTGTAAATAACTGATGATTTTTAACCGGCTTATCATCTAGTCTAGATATAAAATTATCACCGACACTAGATATAAAGTTACCTCTTCACTTTTATTTAAACAGCGAGGGACTCTGTCGTTTGTGTCGTATATTAAATATTACCTACGGACCCTGGAATAAGTTATTCAGCCCTGTACAAAATATTTGAATATAAAGAATAAAAAAATGGCGTGTAGCAGTTTTTCAGTTTCCTTCGATAATCTCCCAAAAGAATTACTGTTGTCTAACAGTCAAAGAAACGTGTGTAATATTTTTCGAGTGTAAATATGTTCGAATATTTCTGATAAATTATTAAGCAAAAGGGTTGATAACGTTTTTATAAACGGGTTGAGTTAGTGTTAGTTGCAGGAATACTTCAACTACAGGATATAAACGTTAACCAACAATACACATAATAAAAATATAACAATACTAAACAAGTGTCTTTTTTCTTTGTCACGCCCACTCGTTCCATACGTACGTTTCTATAGTTAGGTATAGTTTATAACCGGTTCTTTCAATTCTCCACTTTCTGTTATTGTATTGTGAACATACAGTCAAATTACATAATCTTATATTATTCTCACGTACATATAAAATTATGGTATAATATTTTACATTGCAGTATCCTGAAGGTCTTCAAATATTTTATTGAGATCGATTTTCTTACTTAAAAATAAAAAAAACTCTATTACATTCATGTTATACCCACCTGCAACATGTCACCATACAGCAAAAGTTTGTAAGTAAATGTCTTGTCTCCTATATCACATGTGTTTTATATGAAATAAAGCTGATAAATAACTTTTTTATTAACTACAAATGACAGTACATAGTATTATGTTAATTGATAAATAGTAGGGGGTAGGGAACTGTTAGTAATGTGGACTGATGACCCCATAGCTAGTAATGTACCATGTTAGATTGACCTCTACGCGGTTCATCCTGGAAACCATTGTGATAAATTCCTGATAAATTAACCACGATGGGCTAACCACCTGACCTTATGCGCATCCTATCATCCTCCGGTGGCCCGCCAGCGTAAACCGTTAGCACAGGCAGGAAAACCATACCATTATCATCCATTAAAAAAATAGTCAAAGTAGTCCAGTATAAAGAGTACTCACCAAAAAGCAAGAAAACAATATAGCTGCCACGACTTTGTCCGTAACTGTGGCGTGAATATTTATAAGTAAGAGATCATTGATTGTCAGAAACATGATTAGGAGGAACCCGAATACGTGGGTCCATATGTTCATAGTTTCATTTGTCCACCAGAATACACTGCAACAATAATATCGTTCGTTAAATTATTTTAAAAGTTCCCTTTTGTACCTTTTTCGTATGACGATCCTGCCTAATGACTGATAAAGAATTTTATTTTAAAATAATCCCGTATGTAGAACCTAAAATACCCTATACAGAAATGTAATAGGTACTCTAACCTCCATACATCCTCACTTCCATACCACAAACAAAGAGGAAGATTTTTAAAAAAATAACTATTTTTTTAAATAAACTCATTCATTCTTTCCCCATATAAGTATTTTTGTTTTCAAAACTGTGGAATGGTGAATAAGTTTTTGCCTATATGCCACACTATACAGACGTACCGGAATTAAGTCAACATAATCAAATTACATAATCACTTTCACATGTTGTATACATTGCTCTTTGATCAAATATCGTCGCTATTGAATTAAGAGTGTTCGTGCAATCAGCCGTGCACTTACAGATTATGTGGTAAATGAGCACACCTATTAGCACCTAATTTTCGGGAAATAAAGCAATTTTTTTTCAAACCAAACAAGTGATGATTATTATCTGCGGCAATCGAGACAAAGGCTGAGATCGAATACCAGGGTTCGAACTATCCAATAGAATCTTCTGATGATGTACTTAACACAGGAAGTAACGTAAAACTGTATCAGGACTGACCCCCGATGGGGAAATAGGTAGGATAATTATGATGATGACATGTTTCAAGTTCTATATAATATTACTTAATAAAAAGTACTAGGTAACTGACAGTAAGAAACTACTCTGTAAAAAGTCACGCATGGTTATCCATCTAGGTGGCATAGGTTTAGAGTTTGTATGTATCATCAAGAATCATACATATATGTAATTTAAAACGTAACTTAGTGAACAAGATTCTCACAGGCTGATACACATGTGTGTCATGTGTTCACAGCGAAAAAAGAGAATAATCATCTTCTTATTTATATATGTAGTCTGTCTATAGAATATATATTAATGTATGCATCATGATATGTTTGTATGTAGTATATTATTATGTTTATATATACTCTTATATTAATATCTATTTATTATATAATTTTATTTAGTAACAGTACACACTTTTCATTATTAATTGTAGATATTTATATCTGTAATATTCTATCTTTCTATACTGGATAGTGTAATGCTGGATGCATACAGGGTTAGTTATGTGGCATTCACTGGAGTTTTTTTTAGGTGTTGCTGGACATACATTGGAATCTGATGATATATAATATCTGTGTACCTATAATCAAATATAATAGGATACAAAACTACTTAAGAAAAATCTACTATGTATTTCAACTATATGTTATGTATGTATGTGCATCATTAAATGTAATGTTTAGGGGATGTAAATCAAATATTACACCTATCTACATTAATGAAACTATGCAAGATGATTTTATCTAAGATAAATGGAAGGAACTTACAGGTGATGTCCAATCTATACTCTATACATATAAATAAAATTAGAATGTCTGTATGTAATATTGAAATAACCGTTTTTTACATGTTGTTTACATGCATATGAATATAAATACGGTACATAAACCAAAATAACATTTTTTACTATTTTTGTCTGTGTGTTTGTTTGTTCCGGCTAATCTCTGAAATAGCTGGACCGATTTTGATGGGACTTTTTTTCTCAGGTAACTGATGTAATAAGGAGTAACTTAGGCTACTTTTATTTTAGAAAATAAAGTTAAATTCTATGCGAACGAAGTCACGGGAACAGCTAGTAGTAAATAATAAAAAAGTATAAATACCTCTCCCAGCATAATTTTGTTGGCAACAATTTCCGATACCCATCTCTTATGTAAGGATTATGTTGCAAATATTCTGGTGCCTCCTCATACTTTAACAACTGTCTATAGTTAATATATTCCAAATCATCTTTGGTCAAGTTATTGTTGTCTTCCAATTTCTTGCCACGTTTGAGGAGGGTGCTGCCGGAACTATAAGTCTCTGTGTTACATTCATTTTCTACCTTAAAACAAAAACACGTATGTCTATTTGGAATAATATTTGTTTCTCTTTATTGAAACAATAGATTCTTGTTCAAAATTGATTGAATAAACCATACCAGTTTGGGACAGTAATAAATCTATTATTACTAATATTACTCCTATTATAATTATTAGGATCTTAGTTATACTTCTTTGAAATCTTACATAAAACAAAATATTAAACAAAACAAATAATTTACTATCATTCCACTATCTTAAGTGACGGTTAAAAACTTAAATGTAATACTTTTAGATAGCGTAAGATCTTTTTTAATTATTAACTTACAGATATGACTTACTTTTTCTATTGGCATAAATTGCACAGTTTCTGCTTGGCATTCTATCACTTTTTTGGTCATAGTCAGAGACATAATTTCACTTCTCTTCCGAGTCTCCTAATTAAAACTAAAGGAGTCAAGAAGGATCTTTCTAACAGAGTCAGAAGATTATTTAAACTTTGTTTTGTACGTTACTATTGCATTTAGAATTTCACAATTGAAACTTTTAATGTACTTAAATAAGCCAATCACTAATAATTACGATCTGTAAATTGCAAAACAGAACATTCCACTTATATAGGTATTTCTAATTTCAAATGAAATCCTTAACTCACACCACAAAAAGTAGAATTTTGAATTCTGTAATAAATATATTTGAAATAAATATATTCCAATATTAATTTAAAAACGAAGACAGTTTTAAGAAAAAAGACTGCATTACAACTGTCAATACCGAGGAAACTGAAGATAATATAAATTTAATGTGGTACTATTAAGCAAAGTAACAAACATGTCAAAATTATTAAATGTCAAAATTAAGGAGTTCGATATTAGAAGTAGTATGCAAAAGTAAATTTATGCTACAATAAACCTTACGGAGACGGAATAAACTATATTTATCATTCCAAATTAACTTAAAAAGTAACTTGGACTAGACAGAGATCACAACGTTTAAACCTTATGTCTCTTTCGCAAAGATTGCCAGTATAAAAATAGAGTAAAGGTAACTAGTAATTATTTATTTATTAATTCTGAAAAAACTCTACAAGGGCTTTATACCTATTTGAGTGAAATTTTTTAACTTTAAATTATAACAAATTACTAAGATAATTATGGTCATATGTTGACTAGTAGCCGTCCATGGGGGCTCCAAGCTTTGTTTAGCCTAAATGACACTGTGCTGTGCACCATCATATTTTGAGCAATATGACTATTAATAATATCTAATTCATGAAGATTATTTAAATATTATTCTACACTAGATGGGTAGATATAATTTACAAGTCAAATAATTTGAAAAAGTTAAAGTTTAGACGAATCATATATATGATCGTCTAAACTTTAACCACAAAAAATATTAATGTGACTATTGCAGGAGCTTAATAAACGTGCATGGAATTAGGATCATTCAATGCCATTACTAACTTCATACACCTTATACAATAAAATACAATAATGAACAAACACTAAAAATACATTACCTACATACATATATATTGATATATAATATATCCCATATAAAATTGTTGGTTACTTCTGGTATCCTTCGTCTCTTATTCACAATATTCAATCGATTACGTTTACAAGTTAATTAATAGTGAGAAGTTTCTATACTACTGCATGTGTGAAGCAAAATTAGGGATTCCCCTTCGAACAGAAGTAGCCGTAAACAGGTAATTCAAATTCATTAAAATTTTGCAACCGATGTCAACACACTGGACAAAAACTACTGAAAATAATTGAAAAGTAGTAAGCAATAACCTCGTTCATGAGAAAAAAAAAACAATATAAATATAAATCTAGTTAAAATATGTATACGTTTTATTGCTTCTTTTTTATTAGTGTACAAATATATATAGTACCCATAAAAAATATTTACAACAGTAGCCTATGTTATTTCTCATATTTTAAGTTACACCTCTACGTATTAAGTAACATTTTTTAGCTGATTATTAGTGAAAAATAATATACAGGCGCAGTTGCTTTTAAATATTAACGTATTTTCTGAACAAATTCCGTTTTTAACATCCTGTCTGAAAATAGCCTTGTTCACATATTTGTGATGAATTCATTTTTACACCTGGGGAAGTTTCAAATTGCAAAAATGTGAGCTAAAATAACTGTGTAGGTACCTACTTCATCCAAAAATAGCGCGACTCATGACGTTCATGACGTGTTTCCGAAACATATTTAGTATTGCTATTGAAAAAAAAAATATCCATAGACTTCTAAATAATAAAATATACGTATTTTTAATTTAAATGTAGTGATATAGAATATTATTAATCCCAAAGACTATTATTAATTATATTAAGTTTTAAATATAATTATGTCCACTGAAAATTAAAAAAAAAAATACTCAAATAATCAATAAGATATATTTTTTTAAATTATACAGTCCGTAATATTTAACTCATTGTGAACGCAACTTGGAAATGGTCGATTTTCCTGTTCACTGTTCTCCAATTCGTTGATAGTGCGTTAATTTTGTTATAATCCGCGATCTGTTTTAATTCTTATTGTTTCTTATTATAAGTTATTATTATTTTTTATATAAGCATTTAATGATTCGTCTCAATTATTGGAGTTCGGATAAAACTACATAAAACGACTTGGTGGTACTTTTGCGTTTAGACGGGAGCCATCTTGCAATCTAATCAAAGGTCCTTGGCTCACAGTTTCGTTGTCTAGTTGAAAGTCGATATAATCCGTCATATAATAATCAAATGGCGTTAAAACGAATTAATAGGGTACGTATTCATTATTGTATAGTTTATTTCGGCTTTATTGGACTTTGAAAATGCTGTTGTAAAATTTGTAACAAGACTTCGTAGTGAATGTTTCGTCATTGTGAATACCCATTATCGAAATTTCTTCTGGATAATTCCCAGTGTGTTATGATTTTGTTTAAATTTTATAAGTGACAAAGTGATTTACGCTTTGTAATCGTTTTTAACGAGTTAACGGTGTTTTAATGGTAAATGTAGGTGACAATTTCTGCACACGGCGTACATAAAATGTCGGAATTATGTGCCAATTTTGAGGTTTTCTCACCCATCTCTCTTTAGAAGACGCGAAGATGCTTGCGAGAATACTATATTAGTGTTTTATGACGTTTCACTCATATTAAAGCAGCTGTTCATCTCAATATGTTGACCGTCAGTTTATTTTCCAAGTGATGATGTGACATGTCGTTTTGATAGTGGTATTGTGTTTCTGGTATTGTTGTGCACCTACAGATGGTAATGTTTTGTTGCACAGGAATTACAAGACCTCGGCAGAGACCCTCCAGCACAATGTTCTGCAGGACCACACGGAGAAGATCGTATGTATCCATTATTCTACCTACTAGTTTTTGTGACTCATTGTGACAGATAATAATAATAGGCAGAAACTGTGATTAGAATCAGGTCATTGAGTAAAAAATGGCTTGAGTGCAACAGTGAGAAGTATTTTTAACTAATAACTTTCAGATAATAATGAAATGAAAATTATTTTCGATTTTTATGTAATTTATTGATGTGGGATGTATTTATAGAATAATTCTATATATTATTATTTAAATATACTTTAAACATAGTGTACAGTAATATAAAACTGATTATTATTTCTACTCCATTGTTGTCTTTATTTTTCCATTTTGATGTAGGTTATCTGTACCATCCCAATAGAATGAGTCAATGAACTTGTTCCAGTGAACTGGATAGGAGGCATTACTAATTATACATTTGTTTATTTCAGTTTTCCACTGGCAAGCCACAATTATGGGTCCAGTGAGTATATTTTTGTTAACATGGTAAATAATCTTATTGTACAATAGGTACACATTTATTTTTTGACAAGTCATAACCTATAAAGATTGAAAATGCTAATCATTTTAACTTCAGGCTCTTTAACAATAGCCATCAAAGATTGTGATGAATATTAATATTGTGATATAATGTATATAATTTATTTTGTTTACAAAAAATGATAAAATATATCCTAAGATACAAATGAAATTCCAACACATTTTTGACAACCTGTCATATAAATACTTAATGTTGGCTACTGTTGGCTCCTTAATCTTCAGCGGAATTAATGTCTTTATGAAGTTACATTTAATTATATGTAATATATATATAAGTTGAGGATTTTGTAGAATAGACATTGGTGATGCATAATGAATATGTTTGTTATAATCAATTAATATTCTCAATTCATAAAAGTTTAATAGCATTAAACTTTTATGAATTTTTGTGTCACCAGAAATTAAATGTCACTTAAACAAGAAAAAGTTTAAGGCAGTCATTAACATGAAATGTGGAGTACAGTAGTTTTGCTGTATTTATTTATATTAACTTATTTATTAGACATGGCAGATTAGAAATAATTATGCTTCTAATGGTGTTTTAGATATAAACATTTTTTCTATAGTAACAAAGAGAATTATCATATCCTTATGTAAATGATAATTGAAATTTATTATCACAAATAGACAGATATCTTTTTATAAGCTGCAATAATTGAATGATAATTTGGTATAATCAGAACTTCTTATTATATTTACAGGTCGACAGCCCTTACCAAGGAGGCGTATTTTTCCTGACCATACACTTCCCAACAGATTATCCATTCAAACCACCAAAAGTTGCATTCACAACACGTATTTATCATCCCAACATAAACAGTAATGGTTCAATTTGCCTTGATATTCTTCGTTCACAGTGGTCTCCAGCACTAACCATATCCAAAGGTAATTTTTAAGAATGTTTAATCTTTTGAATGTATTAACTTAATTGTTATATTTATTGCAATTAAAAAAAGTAATTAATATTATAAATAAACACTATTTTATACCTGTATACTTGCACAGTATATTATTTATATAACAAACTAGTTAATAGGTTGGTAATACTGATTTTGTAAGTGAACATATATAATCAATGCAAACCATTTACCTTCTTATTAGCATTATATTAGAACAAGAATTTAATTGGATTCTAATTTGTTTAGTTAAATTTATGTTGTTTGTATTTCCAGTGTTGCTCTCAATCTGCTCACTGCTATGTGATCCAAACCCAGATGATCCTTTGGTGCCAGAAATTGCTAGGATCTACAAAACAGACAGAGAAAAGTACAATGAACTAGCCCGTGAGTGGACAAGGAAGTATGCCATGTGATGAGTCAGTTGTGACATCAACAACACATACACACATCGCCACAGCCCGGGCTCTAACCCCCCCCCCCCTCCTCCCCCTTCCTTTAAACCCACTCCCTATTCCTATAAAATTCCCATCAGTGTCCAATTTTATTGGAAGTTGTAAAAATGTTCAATTAGGATCAGCCTAACTTCTGTCATTTCTGGTATTGAATAATCTGTGAATTATAATGCATCTAATAAAACACACACATGTGCAAATATATTTCTGTTCTATATAAATAAGAAGCATTTTCTATAAGCAAAATTATTTTCTGTTTAATGATTGATGTGTCAGTAGTTGTCTTTACACTCATTTAATTGAGGATTAGTTAAATTTACATAATTTGATATCATGTAATTCCTGAAGAATTTGTACTTTAACTAGATCTAAATTGCATTGTGAAACTGTACAATAGCCATATGTTTAGGTAATGGAGCGTTCCTTGGCATACCACTGTCCGGTTCACTTAGGAATTTTGTCAATGAAATGTTAAGTAAAGCTCATAAGTGTTAAGAACATTTTGGGTAATGTAAGTAAGTGGTATTACAAAATGAGCTCGTTGACGGAGTGAGTGTTAATTTTTTTTACTAGGAAACAACTTTTTAAGTTAGTAATTGTAGCGCGCTACAGAAGCGACTGACAATGATTGAAGCGGTCAGTTTTCTTTCATCCACAATATTTTACTATGATGGAAAACGCTCCAATAGTTGCAACAGTCAGTATAAATTACAGTGTATCTCATAAGATAATAAGTTACGATTAATCTAGATTTTTTTTAATATGCCCACTTTTATTATAATTTTATCTAATATATATTGTGGTTGTAAGGATACCTGCGTTGTGATTTCCACAATCCTATCTACGTCGATGATCCTTGTCCTACGAATTTAATAAATGAACAAAAATAAAAATGTGTCAAGGCATGAGTGGCAAAATATGGTGTGTTATTTTACAGCTGCAAGATGAAGCTTTTGTTCACTTGTAACACTGGGAGAGATTAAATTTAAAGCTTTTCAAATTGTAATCAATCAACAACTTGTATTTTAGCTTGACTAAATTGTAAGAAACAATAAATTATTGTGTATGTAAATAACAAGTTGAGATTTATTTAGGCAACCTGATTCGTAGTATGCAGCTGTAAATAGTTTTGAGTTTTCACATTATTGTTGGAGAAGTTTGTGACACTAATGTGTTTTTAATAGGCGGCATACATCGCCGCTACTTTTTGTTATGAACTCTCATCTTTATCACTTCCTATTCAAGTCGTACATATTGTGTTCATCATTAGGTTAAAAGTTATAATAACAGTCCGCGCGAAAAAGTTAAAAGGTGAAGTATTGAGGTGGTCGAGTTTAAATAATAATCTACACTTTATTACTGTGACGTAGTAGGTAGGTTGAAAAATATTTGTTACATATATTATTCAGTAATATTTTCTTGTTGCCAACTAACACATTTTAAACAACTTTTTAAATTGCTATGTCCTGTCTTTTTTTATACCATCACAATCATATTTAGGTTTCAGGTAAATGACATCTAAAGTGGAATAAAATAAGAAACAGTAACAAGCGAAGTGACGTCTCTTTGTTTTATTTTATCAAGTATTTTTGAGATAATGTTAATATAAGAATCGTACGCTTCGAACCATTTTGCATTTCATGACGGTAACTTTTTTAAGCACCTGTGGTGTACACCTGTGCTCAGCACAGAGATTTAGTACTAATTCTACTGCTATTAGTTAATATATAAAAAAGAAAAATAGCAACCATTGACTTCATAATATATAATAATAATATTATTATATAGTGTTTTCTATGAGGTATATCAATTAAAATGACAAACGTTGATTCTCTGTGTGTCTATTTCGTGAATCTTGTTTTAGCATGGATTCAAATACAAACTGCACATTATATAAATTATAACATTTCATTCAATATCCTATATATTCTGATATACCACTAGATGGCGCTTTTAAGAAACTTTCAAATCAACGGCGGGAAATATAAATTCTATTGTCTGTTTTGATAATTACGTAACTTCATTAAACAAAATCTGTATTTGGATATTACCACTGTACATGATTTTTTTACTAGTATGACAAGACGTGAGACGTTCCACATTCTCACGCACGTAGGTAAGGCACTCAAAAGTTTGTTGCTTTTCACAATATTTTATGACAAATAAAATTTTTAAAGCATGTTAATTATACAATTGCCTACGTAGTCTGCATTTTTGAGATTAAAGAGACAATATTTTATGTCTGTTAAATACGTCAATGAGATTCATTCAGGCGTTTAGCGTGAATAAGTACCAACCAGACCGAACAGCTCTCATTTGTAATATTAGTGTAAACGATACTTCACTTATTAAGCTATATCTCCTTTCATTATATTTTTCTGTACTTTACACCGCATCGAATCAGTATGTTGTATGCGGTAATTATAATATATTTAGGTAATCACACTTGCTTCCTGGGCTGCCATCGGCGACGTTGTTCATATATAATGATACTTATGAGTTTAAAACTGACGTTGACGTTGATATAGTTAACAGTGCCTTAAGGAGCTGAAGAAATAAGGCTGTCTAAATAAAATAAAAATTGGTGTCCTAAAGGTCTTTGTATATACAAAACTAGGTGGTTGTAGTCCGCCTCATGTATATTAATTATCAGCAATATTATTGTTATTATACAAAGTTGTGAATAAGTCTTATAAAAACTATTCAAATTATATATAATGCTTAGCTCGAATGACTTCAACTTTTCTATATAATCCGCGTGTAAGTATAATGATTCCATAATTCTTCACAATAAATTTGCCAACATGCTACAGTTAATAGTATATGATAACTAGCTGTACACGCGACTTCGTCCGCGCGGAATATAACTTTATTTTTCTAAAATAAAAGTAACATCAGCTACCTGCCAAAAAAAGTCCCGCCAAAATCGCTCCAACCATTTCAGAGATTAGCCGGAACCCCGGAACAGACAGACAAAAATTGTAAAAAAAAGTTAATTTGGCATATGTACCGTGCTTATATTCATAGACATGTAGTACAAAACGGTTATTTTAATATTACAAACAGACAGACACTCCAATTTTATTTATAGATATATAGTGGCACTTCCAGCATGGCGTGCGAAACTAAATTTGTGAATAAATAATACTATTCAAATCGATAATACAAATAAACGTTTGTATCATGCAGCTTACCTACATTATCACAAAGTCAATATTAACAGAACAACTATCTATCCACTTATTTTACTATTAAAGCAGTTGTAACCTGTCAATTTGCAAGTGCCACATATACTATCGACTAATTTATTTATATAGACTACATTTTGTTCATATTATTTAATTTCTTAATTATAATTATATATATTATAATTATAATTATATAAAAACGCATTTGGAATTTGTAGGTAACAATAATAAGGTCGATAAATTTACCATGTATTGTACTTATGTACACTTACCTGGCGTAAATGGAAACAATCTCTCGCATCTGCTATATAAGGGAAAGCGACCAATGAGCCTAATTTTAATCAGATTTGGCTATTAAGGGTTTTCTCAATGCATTAGACAGATAGATAGAATATACTTTATTTGCAACACACAGTAAAGAAAAGGCATAAACAATATATTAAAGGACATGTATAGTTACAATAAGGCGGCCTTATTGCTGAAAGCAATCTTTTCATTAATATATACTTACAGCGTAGTTAAGGGTTGGTTATTGTATTATATTACTTTGCTATACCTACCTTTTGCAAAATAATGTAATATTATAGGTACACAAATGAAACTAGTACTATACATTATGGGATTATGGTTACAGGATCATATTTATTTTTTTACAAATTAGTGATCATAGATTTTTACATATATAATTGTTCATAATAAAATGTGCCCTATAGAAAATAGACCTTAACTCCAATAAGAGTAAGGTAAAATGTACTATTCGGCACGATAAACACACCCGTAATAATGTGGTTATCCAATTTAACAAAAAGAAATTACTAATTTTATATAATTTTTGTTGAATTATTGTATCTACCTCCCTTTCTGTAATACTCTACAACTCTACAGTTATTTTTTATACTTTAAAATCATCGCTATGACGCCGTCAAATACAGACGACTACACAAATAGAAATCAAGGATAACTATGACGAAAAGACAGGTGTCCATAACAAATCTTGTTTTATTTGTTTATTTACCTTCACACAGTTTACAAGTTCGTAATTAAACCACAAAAGAACCAATTACAATCATGACGAAATTAGAAGACTTACGACTGAATGGAATGTAGATTATCTTTGATTCTAAGGTCGGTTTGTTTTAGTTTTTATCTTGAATTAATTCTAAATTTTCAACCCAAATTACACCTAAATCCACGTTTGCCAAAACTTAATTCGCAGTACTTATCGAACACTCATTTTGGCACGAACATATCGTTGATTGTTGTTATAAATAAAACATCTTTATTTGGTATAAACTTATTTTTATCACGTTTTCATTATGAATAAATAGAAGAGCATTGTCTTTCATTGTAACACAATTGCGAAATGAATTGCTAGTATGGTACATATGTATATTACAAAGGCACATACAATTTATATAATATACATATATGACATTATAATTCAGTTGTCTCCATATTTTTTGCGTTCTTCATTTGTTCTAGTTGCTGGTAAAAATCGTATTTTGCTTGATTACTTTGTGGCTCAGTTTCATTAGAATCGATGGACGGGAAAGCCCCGGTTGTGATGAAATACGGTTTCTCGTTGGATATGTCTTGGTCAACCGCGTTTTCGTCAAGCGAGTCGCGTTCGGAATGACTCAGCTGGTCGTCAGACTTGTACCAATCGTTTTCGTATGCGTGTAGCCAGATCGGATTAGAGCCTTTGGTACTATGTTTGTTTGTGTTCGGAACACGTCCTCCTGAGCTGCGAATTGTCATATCAGATTCGCCTGGTGTTGGTGAAGCTGGGTATAAAAAAGTATATATATAATAGTTAAATATACAAAGTGTAGAAAAAGTATGTAGTGAAGTATAGTATATAGTAGTATTTTGTTTAACAATCGTGGTAAAATTTTGGTATCAACATTGGTGTAAACTCAATAGTTTGTAAAGAAATAATAAAAAAAAAAATGTTTTTTTTCATTTTTTTGCGTCATCTAGACCCAAGTTAAGCTAGCTAAAGCTTGTATTATGGGTACTAGATAACTGATACATACACCTAGATTTTTGTTTTCGTAAATACATACATATTATACATAGAAAACACCCCGACCGATACAAACAGCCATACTCATGAATACAAATGTTTGTGCCGTGCGAGGAATCGAACTCGCGACCATCGGTCGTAAAGCGGTGTGCTAGGACCGCTAGACCACCGAGGTCGTCTATTAATATTGCGTAACATACACAGATAAAGATAAATATAGTGCAATACCTTCCTCATTGATGAGTTAAATATCATGAAAGTAATTTATTTTAATTAAAAGAAATAATTTATTTATTGATTTAATATTAGTGATTTAAAGAAGCACATTTTTAAACATACGATTTGTAGTATCTATATACTGTACACATCAGATGTATACTGCACTTACAATAAGCTGTGGCTGTAGCGGCCTTTAACTTTCGAATATAATCCGCCCGTTGAGACAGGCACAACATAAGTGACAGCACGAGGAGCACGGCGAGGAATAGCGTCGTCCACACCAGCCAGAAGACCGTCTGGTTTGATGACAACGTCTCGGCGGTTAGCGGTTGGTACTCCGCCGGTTGAGTGTCCAAGACATTGAATTCCTGAGGGGAATGGGATTGTTAGTAATGAGCACTAATAACACATTTGCTAGCAATGTACCATGTCAGTTTGACCTCCACGTGGTTCCCCAGAAAAACCATCGTGATAAATAGTGATGGCCTAAGTGACCTGACCTCATGCTCATCTGAACATCATCCACTGGTGCCCTGCCAGCGTAAACCGTTAGCGCAGGGAGATGCACCATTCCATTATCATCCATAAGATTGAATTCCTTTGTAAGAAGTACCATTTATTAGCTTGTATAGGAATCATGGCAGGAACTTAAATACAAAGTTCTCAAAGATCAATCTCTTTATTTTGACTTACCTTGAACAAATCATCGAGTTGTTCAATATTCTTATCAACTATCTTCAATACTTGTTCCACTTCAAAAACAGAATGGTCCTGGCCATTGACTAAGTGCAAATAGAGGTCTGTTTTCGTATTATCCACAGATCCGTCTTTGTTCTCGTGGACTCTTATATCATCTATGTTGACTACGGAGGCCGTGACGCGGGCCAGTTTGTCGCGGAACTTGGGTATTCTTTCACGGATTTCCGACGGGTGCGAGCGAAGCACAAACCGTACTCGCTGATCTTCGCGCAGTAAGTATATAAAGACATGCGCTTCGTCTTGAAGCCCGCCTGTATCGTTGGCTAGTACCTGAAGGTGATATTTTTTATATCTTAATAGGATATATTTATTTTTAATAAATGTATCAGAGAGGAAATACCCCTAACCTTAATTACAGTATTTTGGTAATCTTATATATATATATATATATATATATATATATATATATATATATATATATATATATATATATATATTGATTAATTACAATTATTTAATGGTAATGGTGCTTACCAAATAATTCGTTTCTAGTACCATCGAAATAAATTAAATAATAAAAATAATAAAAAATAAAATTATAGACAAATGTATAAAATAATTGACAGTAAATAAATAATATATTAGAGGTCTATCTCTGATATATTGTTACAAAAAATATTTTGACAAATAAAACTACAATCAATGTGGTCTCCTGTAACCTGCTTCTCACTTAGCAACACAGATTTCCTTACTTGTACCGTACTTTTTCCTTAATATATGTCATAGACAATTAAAATAACTTGTGATATTTATTTCCTTCCAACTACATAGATAAAGAATTATTAAATTGGTACCTTGAAATCGAAATATCCTTTCATGCCTTTCTGTGGGTCGAAATTCAATGATATGGCGCCGGTGTCCACATTGACGAGGAAGGGTGACACCGCCAAATTTTCAAGGCCTTCCGTTAGTGTTTCTTTTACTTCACCCATGAGGTAGTAACTTATTTTTGCATTGTCACCGTCGTCTATGTCTAGCGCCTGTATAAAAGAACATAGACAAGATTTGTTCAATAGTGAATCTAATCTAATAAATATTATAATGATAAATTGCGAATTTTGTGACTTTTTGAGTGTTGAGGATAATTAGTAACCATTGTACTGATAGTAAAAAATATTTCATTATTTAAATTACATTCAGTAAATTATAAATTGTATTTTATATGGATATAAACTCTATATTGTAATTTATTCAACCCGAGCGCAGTTCCGAACGGGACTCTAATTATAAAGACACACGACTTAAAATTGTACAAATTAGCACACAAAGTTGAAAAATTACCTTCACATGCATAAATTCAATACCAAAATCAGCCTCTGTCGTCACGCCACCAGTGAATATCTTGCTCGTAAATTTTGGTGGATTGTCGTTGATATCATTGACGGTTACATTCACCCTTAGTACACTGACTGCGTCCACGTCACTCTGATAGTTGGGTGTCGCTATACAGTCCTCTGTAGCCAACACGGTGAGTGCGTATTCTGACTTTTGCTCTCGATCGAGTGGTTTGATTGTGGATAATCTGCAAGTATTCATAGAAAGAATGCCTATTAGCGATGCCTTGTGAACATTGCCTCAGACAGAGATTTCTATAGATTCCTATTATAAATATAGCATTCTGGAAAAGATCGACTAGAGATATATGGTACGCATATATCAAACGAATTTGTCTTTTATTTTTATACGCTTAACTAATTTATTAATTATTTTAATCCCCTCTACCAAAAGTTTGTAAATAAAAAAGTGAAACAATTTGTAAGTTTATTTCGGTTGATAAAATTGTGATCTGTTGATAAAAAAAATATTTCATAACAAAGTTAGGTGTCAGATGAAGATTTTTATAAAAAAAAAAACTGGCGATCTATTTCAGTCCGACTGCAGGTACGTGTCTATACTTCTAAGGTTACTGCTAAGTACTATTTAGGCGGGTAATTTCAGGTTTTGCTTCTTTTGTACTAATGTATTTATGTTTTGCTGCCTTAATCTCCTTTTACCACATTCTAGAGTTAAAATGAGTAGCGACATTTCGTATGGTAATAATAAATTATAGTGAATTGGAATATGTACAAGTGTAATAAAAAATATGAGACTTCATAAAACATTTTGTTTATTACGTTACGCATACTCACTTATGTGTATTCCTGTGTAGTTCAAAAGCTCCGTTCTCATTGCCTTCTACTATAAAGAAGCACACAGGCAGTATTGGTTCGTCACCTCTATCTATTTCGTCTCTTTCTATAACACTTGGCAAATATACTTCGAAGTCTGGTGTGTTTTCTGTGACATTTACGTAGAAATGTTTGTTTGGGAACCGTGGCCGATAATTGTCCACGTTCTGTACGTATATCGTGAGATCCAAGTCTGAACTTAGCGGAGTCGGGAGCCCGAGATCGTACGCCTCGATTCTTAGCTGTAAAATACGTATTAATTATAGCATTCACTTATAATCTGCTGTATTTAAACAATACCTATCGAAAGGAAAGATATGTAGTAGTATTAGTAGGCCGATCTTCAGATTTGTGCGTATATATCAATTCGCGTAGCAGGATTGTAAGCCTCTTAGGGCAAGAATTAACGTATAAAGTATATTTTAAAGGGAACTTAAGAATTAGTGGCGTACGCAAGAATGGGCCGGATGCAACTATAAACAAGAAGTTAGCAATGTACCATGTCAGGTTAACCTCCACGATGGTTCCCCCTGATCTGACCTCATGTTCATCTTATCATCCTTCACTGGTGCCCCGCTAGCGTACACCGTTAGCGCAGGTAGGTGCATCATTCCATTATCACCCATTAAAAACTATAGACAAGAGAGGGGAAGAGAATTGTTAGTAATGTGGACTAATAACCCGGTTGTTAGAAAAATATCATGTCAGGTTGCCCTTCACGTGGAAATCGTCCTCCGTTCGTTCCTCTTGGAAACCGACGTGCTAAATTCATGGTGAATTTACGACGATGAGCTCACCAACTCGACCTCATGTTCATCTTATCATTCTACTATGGTGCCTCGCCAGTATAAACCGTAGGCGCAGGCAGGTGCCCCATTCCATTATCATCCATAACAACTATAGACAAGCAGGCCCGGATCTACCTAAGGGCTTTTTGGGCTGCAGCCCAGGGCCCCCAGTCCTACTGAAACGATATTGACTATAAAAAAATATCTATAATGTTAAAAAACCTATCTCTATCTATAAGGTTGGCAACCCTGAGATCAATCAACCCATGCAAGTGCGCGTCTATCGAAAGGAACGGGTAATTTCTGGTCGGAGTATTTTTTAGTCGAGTAATATAATTAGGTTGGTTCCTAAGTAGATTTAGCTCATGGCCCCACAAATTCACGATCTGCGACTGTAGACAAGAGACACGCGCACCTGGTAGGTGGTCTGCTGGTCGCGGTCGAGCGGCAGCGCGGTGCGCAGCGCGCCGGTGGCGGCGTGCAGTGAGAACGCGCGCCAGTCGCGGCCGGGCTGGCGCCGCACGCGGTACCGCACGGCGCCGTTGGGGCCCACGTCCGCGTCCACCGCGCGCACCGTCGCCACGCACGTGCCCACCGTCGCGTTCTAAAACACGTGGACGACACCCGAGACGGATTTTCAAGATGGGATCAAAACGATTCAATATTTATAAAAAGAATATTATTATTTAAAAGAGCAACACGCTAGTTATTTTCTAGTTCTCCTTGTGATGAGATAGCATTCCGAATGAGCGGTAGATTAGTAGGATTTTTTATAAGTTACCAGCGACATCCTAGAAATGCATATTATAACATATTCTCTCCGGTTTGGGAATGATTATCATCAACATTTACAAAACTAGAGTTTCTAAAGGGTCGGCAAAACGCACGGGACATCTTTGGAGTTTTAGGCGTCCATAGACTACATTAACAGCATTAATAGGTGTCATCTCACCACTGCAACGTTATATATATTATTATGTTCCTTGCAGTATAGAAGTACTAATTGTGTAATAATTGTAGTACATTAGTAAGTATATTTGATAGTGTGCTACATGGTTTATTGATAACGCGTAATCGTCGTGCGGATTGACTTTACGTAAACAAATGGTAGGATGCCGAGAGTCGACAGAAATATTATTAGTACATGTAGGCGCAATACTATATATGTAGTATATTTGGTTAGGTTTATATAAATATAAATAACTAGTTGTGCCCGCGGTTTCACCCCCGTGAAATTTATGGCCTATATGTCATTCTGATGTATATTTATATTACTGTAGAGTTTCACTGAAATCCGTTCCATACTCAAAAACTGTCGCGTTTATAATAATAATAATAATAAAGATACATAAGTAATAATTTAGTCGCTGTAGTCTTGACACTACAGTAATATCGCAATTCACCCTTTTGGGCGCTTACCTCTGGCACCTTGATGGTGACGTTGTGCGGCGGCTGCACGAACACGGGCGCGTGGTCGTTGTAGTCGGCGACACACAGCCGCAGCGAGCCGCGCGCCACGTGCGCCGGCGCGCCCAGGTCGCGCGCCTCCACCGACAGCGAGTAGTTCCCGAACCGGTCCTGCAGGGATTGCCTCGCGAACAGACGCCCCGTGTTCGCATCTCCGCCCACTTGCTCAAACCGGAACAGCTCTACAAAAATATTGCGATGAAATCTCAGAGGAAATAAAGTAAAATATATGCATGAAGGACTGAATTAAAACTGATAAAATACCTGTAATGGAACAGAATAAGTAATAAACCTGGAATGGAACGTCATTCCACGTCGTAACAAAAATTCATTAAAAAAATAGTTAACTGCCTATACCACGGTATTTCTTATATTTATTACACGGTATTTTGTTTTACTGTCAATTAATAACTACTGTAATTCTGTTGGATGCAGAAGGCATTTACATTACATTGAAAATTGACAGGAAGATGGTGTTTAATGAAAGAAATGAAAGGAACCTACTACAACCACAACAGTTTGTGCTAATAGTAGGTTATACCTTCTTTACCTAAAAGCAGGCCCATATTATGAAGAGAGACTTCAATAGATAACTATTATACATTAAATAACTAGCACTTACCATGACCCTTTCCACCAACTAAGTGGAACTGCACGCGGCCGTTGGGCGAATTGGCGTCATCCGCATCTGTCGCTGATATGGAGACTATCGGTTCACGGTAGTTGTGGAATTCCGTGATGGTTGTACATTCTTCCGGAATGTTTAGTATTGGAGGGTTGTCATTTACGTCTTCTACGTGAACGCTGATAGAAACAAAAAATCATAATTGCAATTGAAAATAAATTAAACTGACAGCGTTTTTTACACCGTGGTGGCAATGAACTATACTGTCCATCAGATTTTAAACACTTTTCGTAGTATATGAACACCTCCTTGTTGTCTCCATGAAAAATCCAATGTCAAATAAAAATCAATGTCTTTAAACAATGTTTCTACACATCTATTGTTTTTACTATTTTAATTTATCAATGTATACTAACGAGGTACTTTACGAGTATTTATTTGTCCAAATGTAATTCGAGGTTTTCTCGAGAGACTACAGCATCGGGTTTATCAATAAAGGTATATTAGAATGCTTACGTATCATCCCTGATGTTGGTGGCGTCTATAGGCTACGGTAACTGTTTACCACCATACGGGACATATGCTTGTTTGCCACCTACGTCGTAAAAAAAAACAAAAAACAATAATTTCCAGAAATTACTTTCTGAAATTCAACTTACACAATCTGCTTGAACGCGTTCCGGCTTTCACCACTAAGGTATCCAAACTGATAATTGTCCCATGCTTCAACCACTAAATTGTACGTGGGTTGGGTCTCGCGGTCCAACCAGTCTGACACTGTCAACGCACCACTTTCCGCATTTATTAGGAATTTGCCCTGAGTAACAAAATTATTATATATTAAAGCGAAAGAAAGGTAATAAAATAGAAAATACAGAAATTGTTTTCAATTTTATATTATTTTATATTTAAATTGTATCTACACAATTTTATAATATGTCACAAAATTGGTAAGTATTTAATTAAAAAGGTTTCCTTGTATATAATAGAGAAGAAAGCATTATGTGGTCTCTAGTGCGCACTGCTGGATTCAGGCGGGCATTAAGCTGTGAACGCTAAGTGAATAGTGGTGTGTGTGTCTAAGTGCTGATAATTACGAAGACAAACAGTACACCTTGTGAAACAAAACTTTAGTTTCACAGATCAATTCAATTTGGTCTAAGTCTAAAATTTTTTATACTTTTGTTAATAGTAGATATATAGTCGAAAACAAAGAAATATCATAAAAAATATTTGCGACCAATCTCAAATACTAAGAATTAGGAATTTTAAAATAACTGCAAAATTATACAACTTGACAACATTTCTTATAACTTAACTGCACAAATTAACCTCTGACACTTATTGTAGTTGTCTACGGGCACAGACAAAACTAAACTGGTACCTGCGTAGACATCCGGTCGAGCAGATAGGTAACTGTGCCGTATTCGCCGGAGTCCGCATCGTTGGCAACCACGTTGGCCAAAATTGTTCCCGGCTCCACATCCTCACGCACCCTGTATTCGAACGCGGACGACTCGAATATCGGGTTATTGTCATTTTCATCCAAAACCTGTACAAAGCGTAATGTCGTTGCATATCATACCTTCCTGATCACTAATTATGGCTGGTATTCTTTTAGCACTAAGTTTGTTATTTTCCTTTAAATTTTTTTTTTTACTATTTTAAAAATACTAGTGGTTCCCCGGTTGTTGAAATTCGACCATAACAAAAAATACATAAAGATCTTTGAACCAGCAATAACAATTTAACAAAAGAGTATATGTATATGTGTGTGTGTCAAATACATGGTAGTATATGTAGTTTTTTTTTATTGATATAATGTATTTCTATGCATAAATAAAAAAATATCAGCTATTTTCACTATATAAACTTTAAGTGTGCGAAATTTCATACTCTTACGTCCGCGCAAATTTTAGTAAAAAGTGACATATTAATGTAATGATAATAGAAAATCATACTTGAATAAAGAGTTCAGCGACTGAGTACCGCGGTGGCAGGCCGCTGTCGATGGCCTTTACGGTGATATTAATCCAAGGATACACCTCGTGATCGATTCTGTTGGCAACCACCAATTCGCCGGTCGCGCTCTCCATATGCACCATGCTGAGAAGTTCTTCAGGACCTAGAAATGGTCATCATTAACATCTTTAAAAGTGCTTAGAAAGATATGCTAACATGGTTGGTTCATCAAAATGTACGGTAGCATGGTGGTATGTAGGTTTGTCCGTCATTAAAAAGTATGGAGGTTGTAAGTTACAAATTATAATTATTAGATTTATAGTATAGAGTTTAAGTAGGATATGGAACCTATGAACCAACCTATGAAATGGAATCTACTATTCCCCCAATTGTCAAATATATGGGTATATTGATTCAACATTCATTTATGGAATGAGTAAACAAGGACACAGTAAGACTAATATTACAAAAAGAATATGTTGTACAAACTTAATTTAGGCATTTTTAAAAGTAAATCATATATTAGAATCTCACTCATAAACGTCTATCGTAATTTATAATATTGTACAATACTAATATTTGTTTTTCGACTACTTAAGATGTAACGTATGTTAACCAGTTACCAGTTGACAAATATTCAATTTTTTTATTTATTTAATATGTGTCATTAACAAATACATAAACTCCTAATGTTTCAGTCTTCTATGACCAACCCCTATTTTTTAATAACGATATTAATTTGTATGGCATAACAACGTACACCGAGTCATCCAGTTATTATATACCTTCCACAGAATATGTCATAGTTCTGTTCTTGTCGGCGTCATCCGCTATAACCGTCACAATATTGACGCCGTTCTTAGAGTTTTCGGGTATTGAGGTCCTGTAAAATGGTTTCCTGAAGCGTGGATTGTTATCATTCTCGTCTTCCACTATTATCGTGAGAGTTCCTGTGGCAGTTTGTAGTGGACCGCCGTCTATAGCTGCCATGTCTTGAACTGTAATAACTAATTTTATCGTTTCAACTTTTTCTCTATCTAGTAACCTGGAAAAAAGAATCGTCGCGTAAATTCTTTACACTCTAGATTATGACCTAACCTACATTACTATTAAGAGTATAACCACTATAAATGGGGGCAAGAGGAATGTCAGTAATGTGGACTCATGAGGCCATTACTAGATCGTGTACTATGTCAGGTTGATCTCCACGCGGTTCCCCCTGGAAACTATCGTGATAAATTCCCGGTGAATTTGTCACGATGGACTGACTGATCTGGCCTCATGCTTATCTTATCATCCTCCACTGGTGCCGCTAGCGGTGGCCAGCGTAAACCGCTCGCGCAGGCGGGTGCAACATTCCATTTTCATCCAAGAAAAAAAAACACTATAAATATATGTTTATTTACCTCACAACCCTTAGCGTTCCATCGACGGAGTTTAGGTCCCAAAGCGATAGGTAGTCGTACTCGGTAACCGGTACTATAACGCCGTCCTCGTTCCTTGCCACACTACCGCTACGGTCAATCGCAAACCGTAGCACCGGTTGTTCGTCCAGATCATAAGCTTCGGCGCGGTATATTTCTGTACCTACCTATATTTCAAACAAAACATACACTGCAATACAATAATATTTATTTAAAACTTCATCAGTGTAGTTAGAGGCAATCCTGACACCCAAACTATCGTGAGCATACAACATATTGAACATCATTAATACATCTTTATTTTTTTACATTATATTTTTTAGATATTATACCTAGGTACTCGATTGCTTCAAATTGAAATATTAAAGTATATAGATACTTATTTGTTTTAAATTACAATACGGAACCATAAACATAATATTTGTAATATCTTACAATTTGTATTCTCAAAAAAATAATGGCAAGGTAACACAAACCTGCGTATTTTCTCTGACAACAATGGTGCCAGGCTCGACAAGTACTGGAGGTTTGTTGTTCACATCAACTATTGTGATATTAACGAGTACAGCTGCACTTAATTGCTGATCTCCTATACCGCCATCTAACGCCACCTATAAGTCAAAATATTAATTTATAGTACTTACTACATATGGTCAATATTTAGTTATTATAAAAATTATCTACATAAATATTATTGCTATTCATATTTTTATAAGCTATATATAATGGCAAACTACTATTAAAGTCATGCATTGATTGGATTGTTGACTCGTATTGTCATTTGCCAACCAATTCGATTATAGGACACTTATTGATTGCGGATATGGATATACAAGGAACAAAAACAATATAAAAAATAAATTTAAATAAATATGTGTTTATGTAAGTTATTATAATAGTAGCGTTATTGTTGTACGCATTTATGATTGTATATATTTTATTTTATGTGTATATGTAAGTTTATAATATATTTTGTATCTATATATATTAATAACACTTTTCCTTGTAAAAAATAAAGTATAATTGTTGCACCTCTACCAGACCCAGGTCTAATTACTTCTCTCCATCTTAAGGGTGCCTGGAAGAGAGCGCTTAGCGATAAAGCCGCTCCTTATCACCTCTTATTTTTATTTATTGTTATATGTTTTTAACTCCTTATACATAACTGTGTATTTAGTTATATTTTCTGTGAGAGGAATACATGACCGGTAGAGACTGCCATCATGCATTAAGCCCGCCATGTATACAATTTTGTGTAAAAATAATTAAGAAAATGTAAAGAGTTTAATTCATTTAAACATTAAAATAAATAACATAACACTGACCACAGTGAGTGTGTACCGGTTGACCTTAGGATTGGTCTTGTCCGGGTCGAGAGTGGAGCCGTTAGCTACTGCAAGCACGCCGGAATTTGCGTCTATGACGAATTTGTCTCCAGCGCCGCGTTGAATGCGGTACACTACCCGGTTGTTAGGCAACGAACCGTCAGCATCGCGAGCCTTCACCTGAGAGAAATGACAGTTTAATAATACATATTTTGGTTCTAAGCAAATTTTGCAAAAAGGTACGTGTAGATTTTGTACAACGCTATCTAGTAAGCAGACAACCTGTTGTACAATGTATGTATGTACTGTAGTACTGCATAGCTAGCAATGTACCATGTCAGGTTGATTCTGCGTTCTATTATATTAGTTAACGGATTCCAGTATATGTCAATACCTCAAGCACACTAGTACCGCCGGGCATATCTTCAGGGATGGACCGCTTGTACAACATCTGCTGGAACAGCGGCGCGTGGTCGTTCACATCTTGCACATAGATGGTGACAGGTACCGTCGAAGACAAAGGCGGGTCACCAAAGTCACGCGCTCGCACCTAACAATGTAACTTTATTAACGAGTAATTGTATTAAATTAAATAAATACATAAATATATTGCTCTGGATAAATAACACAGTGCCATCAAGTCCCAAATAACGCAGGGTATAAGAGATGGGGTATAGTATACGGAGCAGCTCATAAACACTATATACTTGAAACATTTTTATGTAAATAATATTATATGTGTATAGAAATCACCCAGACCAATATAACTATATAAACTAATGTATATAATAGATGACATATTACTCACTTACTTTCCAAATTTAAGCTGGTGCGAACTAATACTTTCAAAATTTTACTGTTTATTTAAAAATCAATTGAAGATTAGTTAAGTTAACGGGCCATGCGTAATAAAACCACGACAATATTAACTGTCATAACTATTTATTTATGAAGAAAATTGAAATAACTAAGGTAAAATTATTATTAAAATTTTTACCGTTAGATGTATAGGTCGTATGTTAGTATTGTCGCCTGGTATCTGCTCGAAATCAAGTCCACCGACCGGCGTGATGATGCCCAGATTGGGGTCGATAGAGAAATTCTTCTTATAATCCCCACCAACTATTGAGTATTCTATATGACTGTTTTTGGTACCTGGAAATAAGTTTCTATTACTATTTAAATCCAAATACCAACGACAGTGTAAGGATGGACCACAGTCTAATTACAATCTGATGCTCTTAGCATTTTATGAACAGGTGAGAAAGAAAAGACGGTGGTTTTTAGGAAATAGTATTTTAGTATTATATAGAATTATGTATAGAATAGTGTCTTCGCTAACACATCGGAGTTTCAAATGAAACCCAAATTTACTTTTAATATTGAATTTTAATAATTATTTTTAACAATTTTGAGGAGACCGAATGATTTTTGTAGACGAAGAAAAAGTGAGAGAATACAAAATAACGCAGGTACATCGAAAACAAATCCAATACGCCTGTGAACATTTAAATAGCAACTTTTTGCAGTTAAAATATATTGCGTTCAAGAGTGTTGAAGGAGTGCCGGAACATCTTCCCGCCACCTTGAAAGGCTTCTTTCAATATTTAAAATCCTCTTCATTTAGTAGAGGACAAAATCGAACTAGAGGGCGTCGTAGACATCCTCCTGCAGTTTTGACATCAGCTACACGCGAAATGCCGTCTGGTCCAGGGAATAAACGTAATACTCGTCCCAGTTTCCAACACAAAGGAGGTAAGTAATCTTCTTGAATAATGACTAAGTCTCCAATTTTCAATTTTGCAGTATTGGTCTTCCATTTTGTTCTTTGCTGCAGCTCCGATATATATTCTTTCTGCCATCTGTTCCAAAAATGCTGACGTAATTTCTCAATTCTTTGGTATCTTTGCAAATTGTTTTCTTTGTAGTCTTGTAGATTGGGGGAAGGCAGTGCACGCAACGGTCTTCCAATGAGAAAGTGCCCTGGAGTGAGACAAAGGAAATCATCGGGAGAGGACGATAGAGGATATAGGGGACGGCTGTTCAAAATCGCCTCTACTTGAGAAAATAAAGTTAAAATCTCTTCGAAAGTTAGGTGACTATTTCCGATCACGCGTCTTATGTAATATTTAGAATTCTTTACGCCGGCTTCCCAGAGCCCGCCAAAGTGAGGAGAATAAGGTGGTGTGAATTTAAATTGAATTTGCTCTTGATTGGCAAAATGACGTAAAGAATCTTCATTGTCCTTTAAAAAGTTATTTATTTCTTTAGCGGCAGCAACGAAATTACGACCGTTGTCACAGAAGATCTCTGCTGGCTTTCCTCGACGCGCTATAAATCGTCGAAGTGTCATAAGGAATGCATCTTTTGACAAGTCACTGACTCCTTCTAAATGGATACATTTGTATCGTAAACAAATAAACAAGCATAAATAGCACTTGATAAGTTTATTACCCCGACCTTTACGATTAATTATGTAAAATGGACCGGCAAAATCTATACCGACCGACAGAAAGGGAAAATTTGGTGTTACCCTTTGTAGTGGTAACTCGCCCATTTTAGGATGGAGAGTAGTACCTCTAGCACGTCTGCAAACTACGCACTTATTAGCTGTTCTTCTTGCCAAATGTCTGCCACCGATAGGCCAAATGATTTCTCGAACCGTAGCTAAAAGAAGCTGTGGTCCAGCATGCATATTTTGCAGATGTTCTTTTTCGAAATAAAGTTTAGTTAAATGATGAGTTGAATGCAATAGAATGGGATGTTTTTTCTCATACGGATAATCAGACGTTTCCAATCGACCGCCGACTCGCATTACATTATCCTTGTCCATAAATGGAGATAAAGGTAATAGTTTTGATTTAGTACTAAGCTGTTTGTTTTTTAGTAATAATTCATATTCAATAGGGAATGTTTGTTTTTGAGCCATAGCACAAAGTAATATAAAAGACTCATTAAATTCTTCTAATGACAAATTACCGTATTTTTTATTTGTAGAATTTTTAGTATTATAAATAAAACGTCTAACATAAGCAAATATTCTTATAATTTTATCTAATTTTGAATATCTTTCAAATTTTATTACAGGTTCAGCAACAACTACAGGATTCGACTTCACTTCAGGTAAGTTTACAACTATTTTATTATTTTTTAATTTGGGCCATTTTGTTTTATTTTCAGATAAAAATTGCGGACCAAACCACCACAGCTTCATAGACACCAGCCTGCCTGCATCAACGCCCCTGGATATCAAATCCGCCGGATTGGAATCAGTCGGAACATAACGCCACGATGATGCTACAGTTTTTTCCTGAATTTCGTTTATGCGATTAGCAACAAAAGTTTTTAACTTGGTAACATCACTATTAATCCAATAAATTACTATACTGGAGTCACACCAGTGGATTACATTATTTGGTTTGTATCGTAGGGATTCTATAACCGTTCCACTAAGCCTAGCCGCTAAAAGAGCAGCACAAAGCTCTAAGCGTGGCATAGTTATTGGTTTTATTGGTGATACTTTAGATTTGGAACATAATAATTTAACAGATACCCTATTATTAGCGTCTATGGATCGCATGTAAATACATGCACCGTATGCTGCCTGAGAAGCATCACTAAATGAGTGTAGTTCTATTTCGATTGGATTATTGCATAGAACTAATCTTGGTACTTGAAATTCTTTGAGATACTGTATATTGTCACAATATTTTTGCCAGCTCTCTCTGATAGTTTGTGGTACAGGTTGATCCCATTGAAACTTTTCTTTCCATAAATTTTGCATAATAATTTTTGGTTGTATGATACAAGCTTAAAAGTCCAAGAGGATCAAATATTTGGAATGAAATTGATAAAATATTTCTTTTAGTCACCATGTTACATTTAGGTATATTTTTTAGTGGAAAATTTAGACTATCACTAGAAGGATTCCAGCCAAGCCCGAGGGTGCTAGTTGATTCACTAATTGTCAAATTATCTTGTGAATTAGATGAATTATTTTCAAATATAATTTTAGAATTGCTTTTAAATTTTCTTAAATTAAAACAACCATTACTTAATGCCTTTGTTACTGAATGTTTTATGTAGCGTAATTGCTCTTCATCGTCACAACCTGTGATGAGATCGTCGATATAAAAGTCCTTTTTTATAATGGTTTTGATAAGTTCATCATTCTGCTCCTCACCGATTTGCCAAATACATCGAGTGCTTAAATAACTGGCACTTGCAGTCCCGTAAGTGACAGTATTAAGACTCAATGTTTGTATGGGTTCAGACTCATCTCCTCTCCATAATATTAGTTGCAGCGCCCGATCATTTTCGTTTACTTCAACTTGGCGATACATCTTCTCTATGTCGCCACATAAAAGATATTTATATTGTCTGCTTCTAATTAATATGGAGAAGAGAGAATCCTGCATATTTGGACCCACCATCAAAATATCGTTGAGAGCATATCCTGATGATGTGGAAGCAGAACCGTCAAAAACAACACGGAGCTTTGTGGACTCGCTACTTTCCTTCATGACTGCATGGTGACATAAATAGTATGAATTAAGTGATTTTACACAATTTAAATTTGATAAATGACCTAACTCTGTATACTCATTGATAAATTTTGCATAATCGATTTTTAGAGATGGATTTCGTCTAAATCTTTTTTCTAAATTTAGTAGTCTCCTTTTAGCAAGATTATAGGAATCTCCAAGACAATCGGGAGTGTCATGTAAAGGTAATCTGACGCAAAATCTACCTGTATTTAGACGAGTCGTGTTTGATACGAAATGTTTTTCGCATAGTTTTTCGTTTTTACTGAGAATTGGCCTTTTAGGAAGCTCTTCGATTTCCCAGAATTTAGGAATGATATCATCTATATCATTGTATGATGATTTAGTTAAAGCATGATTGCAATATATTTTGTTATATTTTTTATTTTTAGAAGGAATGGGACCAGATATTATCCAGCCAAATTTTGAATTTATCAATTTAGGACCCCTTTCACCGATACACCGAGTTTCATTACCTATTATTTCCCAAAAGACATCAGCTCCTAGCAGAACATCGATACAGGCAGGTTTGTGAAATACAGGATCGGCCAGAGGCAAGTTTTCAGGTAAGTTAATATTTTGTATATTTATAGGAGCTTTAGGAATCTCACTTGTTATTTTGTCTAAGACTAAGCACGATAAATTTAGTTGATAAGAACTGTTTAATGATTTTAGTTGCGTTGTACATGTTTCTATAATATTATTTGTACAGTTATTACCTATGCCAATAACTCTTATAGTATCTATATGATTTGAATTTAGAGATAATTTTTCCTTTAGAGATTTACTAATAAATGAAGACTGACTTCCGCAATCCAAAAGCACACGAATTTTCTCTGATTGGTTTGTAGATGGATTACAAACTTCCACTAATGCTGTAGAGAGTATAACTTGATTTGGTGTTTGATTATGAAAGTTAACTACTGTATCATTATCTCTCACAGCGGCGTTACTTTTAATCTCTTTTAGAGGATTATGAAGTAAACTATTATGCCTTTGCTTACATATTCTGCAAGGTCCCATACGACAATCACTTAATGGATGGCCTTGTCTTAAACAATTTGGACATAACTTATATGTGGACACTTCCGTTAATCTATCTTGTATGCTCTTAGATTTGAATACGGAACAATCATATATTTTATGATTTTCATTACATATGATACATAGGTATTTATTACTATTTTGATTAATACTAGTAAAAGACTTTGTATATGAAGTACGATTATGATGTGAGCTTGGAGAATTTATTTTATTTGTATTATTAATAGGTATAGAATGACGAGAATTTGTGGGTATATTTTTATGAAAGTTATTATCATTTTTATTATGAGTCAAAGACTCCAAGACATCGGCACGATCATTTAGAAATTTATAAAATTCTTTTAAAGTGGGAACATCGTCGAGAGTATTTCTATGTTCCTCCCATTTAATTAATGTTATATTGTCTAATTTAGTAGACAACATATAGATCAATAATATATCCCAGTGATCTGTCGGTTGGTCTAAGCAGGCCAACGCACGCAAGTTTTTAGTTACATGATCCACTAAGAATCTCAGCGACCTGTCAGATTCGCGACCGAGTGGTTGTATATTAAATAATGATTTAAGATGATGATTAATTAATGATCTTTTGTTATTATACCTATCGCAAATAATTTTCCATGCCTCAGAATAATTAGCAGATGACACTTCGAGATTAGAAATAATTCTAGCTGCATCTCCCTCTAAATATGATGTAAGATAATGAAACTTATGAATGGGTGAGATACGGCTATTGTTATGAATTAAGCTTTCATAGGAATCACGAAATTCTAGCCACCGCAAATAAGAACCGTCGTACTTAGAAATTTGGATTTGCGGGAGCTTAAAGCTCGTTTCTTGATGATCGTGAAAGCACTGAGACTGATCTTTAGCATTATCAGTATAAGCCTCGACTAAAGTTTTAGCAGTTGCGATGCCAATTATAATATCACGTTCAATATTGTCACGTTCTTCAATTTCGAAATCAATATTATCTGCATTTAAAACTTCAATGTCGCTTTGTAAGTTATCAAATTTTATAGACAACCCTTCAAATTTAGTAATTTTGATGTTTAATTCTGCTAATTCTATATTAGAAAATTGATCTTGATCTTTTAATTGTGACAAATAATTTTTAAATTTTGTTATCTGTCCCTTTATTGAGCTACGCTTGGTAACTAATTCCTTTAAATTACTTCGTATTGTACCTAATGAAGATTGTGATAATGGCAATGCATTTGTCTCTTTATCGGTCATTTTGCAAAACAAGTATTAGTTGTTATTATATTGAATTAGGTTTAAGTATAATTTGTGACTATTTATAATTATTGTAATCAAGTAAGAAAGAAAACAAATAAAATTCTCACGCTCCTTGCTTTGGCTACCACTGCTCAGCGAAACCGGCGATGCTCACGCAGCTGCTTAACGTCGCGCTGTCACTCAATGCACAGCTCAACCCCGCGCGCAGCGATAGATGTCACTGGAATTAGTCGGCAAAATTACGTTAGAACATTGTAATAACTGACCTAAATTTTAATACGGATACCTACCCGTTTAATTTGCTTAATATTGGAAATCAACTATTTTAATATTTATTGAGTTTAAATATAATAATGTTACTAGTTTTACGATGTTTATAAGTCGACATATAACAATATTACATGTTCTATAGCTGTATTTTAAGTTCAACAATTAGTTTGCACAATAAATTCACCAAATAGCAGGAATGAATTGTAGGTTACACAATTTTTATTCTTTATATAATAGTCTCTGTATACCCAAAAGAGAGACAGTTTTAATATAAGTGGACAGAAACAATATAAAATGAGAAATAAGAAAATATATCAACTAATTACTCATTTATGTGTTAAGCAAATTGCATAAAAGTTTATTACTCACTTTTGTTCGTGGTTTCTTACTTTTTATTTTATGTATTTACGTATATTTATACTATTTTTTGCAATAGTTACCTATAAATAATATAACTAACTTATAATTAATATATATTTTATAAAAATAAGATAGATTAAATATGTTTTAGAAGCGATTTTGTATGAAAGTAATTTGGATAATTGTAAAGGAATGAGGGAAGGCACTTATCTTTTAGTCAGGACCGCTGTGTATGCTGTGATGCTTTTGTTGCTTCACTGTTCATTACATGAAGACGATTCCCAGATAATCTTGACTTCGATTCAATCCTCGTGATGATTTTGTGATGATATACGACGTAGTAGAACACGTCCGCCACGTTGCGTAGTTGTATAGGAGATTTTGATTTACGAATATCTTGGTAAAATTTTGTTCTTTTCATGGGCCACCATAATATGTCTTCGCTAACACATCGGAGTTTCAAATGAAACCCAAATTTACTTTTAATATTGAATTTTAATAATTATTTTTAACAATTTTGAGGAGACCGATTGATTTTTGTAGACGAAGAAAAAGTGAGAGAATACAAAATAACGCAGGTACATCGAAAACAAATCCAATACGCCTGTGAACATTTAAATAGCAACTTTTTGCAGTTAAAATATATTGCGTTCAAGAGTGTTGAAGGAGTGCCGGAACAAATAGACATAACAGCAGATAAATAAACATATCTGCTGTTATGTTTACTGTTTCTAGTGGTTTGTGAAACTAAACTACTAAACCACTGTATCAATTCTGATGAATTTTCAAACAGACATAGATTAATCTATATCGAAGGAAATAGCACCTCATTTATCGCAAGAAATAAAACTTTAGGTGCGTGAAAATGCATTAAATCCTTTAAGTAATAGATTTATTATATATAAATATAATATATAGGTGTATAGTAAAATACGAGAGTTAATAACAACAATAGTATTAAAAATAATAATCCTGGACAATTCACACAGTGTCATCTAGTCCCAAGTTCAGCAGAGCTTGTGTTATGGGTACTAAACAACTGATATAAATACTGAGATATTTTTCTAATATATACTTAATATACATAGAAAACACTCAGACCAATAAAAACAATCATACTCATAAATATAAATGTTTGCATCGCGCGATGAATCGAACTGGCGACCATCGGAAGTAAAGCGGTGTGATAAACCGCTAGACCATTGAGGCCTTCAAATGCTAATGCTAGTTTACATATAATAGATTCACATAAATATTGTGATGAATGTATAAAGATCTCTTATTACATACCATTTAAGTCCATGTCCCTAGCTTCTAAAATTAGCGGGTTCTCAAACTGGCGTTCATTTTCCAGCAATCTCGCCTCGTACTTGTTGGCAAGAAACATAGGCGCGTTATCATTCACGTCTTCGATGTTTATAATGAGTTGAGCGGTGTTTCTATTGCCTTGAAATTAAGTAATAAAGATATTTGTTAAAGTTTATAAATATTGCTTAGTTGGCAGTAAAATATAGGATATTTATTTTCAAAATTAATTTTAGATTATTTGAGTTAATGAAGAATGGTTTGGTCTAGTATCACACGAATCTGACATTCCATTTTGTAATTTAAGCGTAGGCTTAATAAAGGTCTCAGCCACAAATTAACTTATTCACCTTGCTACAGAAAAATTGGCTTCCTAATATTTTATTACACTTCTATATTTCTTTTATGGTCATATTAGATAAAAAAAATGTTATTTTGCACATATACCTTTGCCGAGGTCGTCCCGCGCTTCAACGGTCAAATAATGGCGAGAGACGAGTTCTCGATCGAAACTGTCACCCCCCGCTTGCTTTACTGTAATCACTCCTGATATTGGGTTTAAATTTAATCTGAAAATTACAGAAAATTACAGAATTATATAATTTTAAGTGATATTATTTAATTAATTAAGATTATAAATAAATTAAAACTGGTGTTACAAATTTATTTTAAAAATTACATAATTTGATAGAATTTCAGGCCCATCTATAAACATGAGTATACTAGAAACAAAAATTTATAAATATTATATATTACGTATATAAATAAAAAATAATAAAATAGTGTCTTCAACATAATTGCACATCAATAGGTACAACGCAATGTATTTTGAATTATAAATCATAAATATTCAATGTTTGTATTTTTAAAAAACTAAATAAAATAAAGAAAGTAAATCTCAATGGGTTTAAAAAATATATTAAAATTTTGTGATAATTGGTTTTTTTTACCAAAAATATTAAAATACTTTAAATTAAAAATACATTAATAAATACTAACAAATTAGCAACACTGCCTCCTAAATTTGTATATCTGATACCCCTTGTTCCATAATTGTCAGAGTCTTGATCTAGAGCTTGCACCCATGCGACTGTTGTTCCAACACCACAGTTCTCTGGTATAGAAACTGTGTATAGTGACTCTGTAAACTCTGGAAAGTTGTCATTCTCATCCTTTATATGGACCATTATTGGAACTATACTGTAAAGAAGAAAATATTTAGTTGAATATCATATTGAATTTAATACTCCACAAAATAAAACTTAAGTTTAATATGTTTTTATGGCTGAATATAACTAATACATTTGCTAACGGTATGCGCTGGCGGAGCATCAGTGGAGATGCTCCACTGATGCTCCGCCAGCGCATATGTTCATTATAGGATGAGCAGTAAGTCAGGTGAGGTTACTCATCTAGGCAAATTCTACAAAAATGAACTAAGGGATTTTCTTGGGAGGACTGCATGGAGTGAACATGATATAGCACATTGCTATCATCGGAGGTCACTAGTCGCTAGTCGCTAGTTCCAATGTCCTCCGATCCTATAGTGACAATATAACATTACAAGAGTAACTAAAAGAATTTTGGTATAAAAAAGCATATAGGTTAGGTGGTTAGGATGGAGATAGCAATGGATTCTTTTAAGACCATATATTGCATCATCATTGCTTAGATTATCAGAAACATGACTATGGATAAAATAAGCTTCAAATTTGGAGGTATAGCGGTTTACTACACCTCCATACCTTCAATAGTTGCGGGTTCTATTCTCGCACGATAAAAACATATGTTTGTTTGTACTAAAAAAGTGTATCAGTTGACCACTTTTTAAGCATATACTTGTATACAAAATTTTATAGATTTCTTTATGTTCAGAAATTAATTTATATTATTTTGTAATAGATTTATAAAAGTTTAATTAAATCTGCTACACCTGTGTAGCTGTATTGTTGAGGCACGTAGTTATAATAATATCATGTTTTTTGGAGCATGGTAGCTTCATGCTTCAATAAAGTAGACGCTCTAACATTGAACTTGAGCACCAACTTTCATATTTTGTAGTCTTAAGTTCACTAAAGTTTTCTTTAAGTTTTAAATTAATATTACTACTATTCATACCAATAATATCCTACTATTGTATTTTTAAGATTTTTTATTACATTTATGCATAGCATATAAAACTTAAAACTGACAATTCTTAAAATGTAGATCAAAACAATACAATGTTTTAGATCTATAGCTTTAAAAGAATAGTTAATAATATCTTAATCAACATACCTCATTTTAGGATCTTTGGCAGCAATTTCTTTGGCGACTAGACTGAAATTCATTACTGTAACCCTCTCATAATCTAAATAAGATGGGTCATTGACCCTTATCAAAAATGAGGCTTCATTTATACCCTTAAATGGTGTAACATCAAACACACCATTATCACCTCTTAAATATAATTCAAAAGTTCCATTTTTACCCTGTAAAGGTAAATCTTAAATTAAAACAGATATTGGACAGTTAATTGGATTTTAAACACTTTACAAACTAAAGTATCAAATATATTTCGTAATATTAGCTATTACTGGCGTCATCTACTTTTTAAAAGATGATAGATAGCAGACCCATCTGCTTGATATGATTTATCTTTATGTTAAATTTAATTACGATGCATTCAGCTATTTATTCTAAATAAGGACATAAACATTATACACACAGACAGACATTCATAATATTAGTATTTATTTCATAATAACTATGAAACTCCAGCACCTTACTAATATCTGTTCTTAGATTTGAATACTTCCTTACAGAAATGAAATGTGCAAGGTAAATTGACAGAGATGCTGATATAGTGGTTGTGTACCAAGCACTCACTAAACATATGCATTTGTTTTTCTATGATAATATTAATCATACAGGGATCCCAAACCTGATCATAATCAAACACTTCTGGTATGGCGTCTTGAAGGAAAGTTATGGGAGTATTCTGCTGTGCATTCTCTATCACTTCACACACATAGCGATCACTACGAAATTTTGGTGTTTCATCATTCACATCTGTCACTATGACTGTCACCTCAGTGGTTGCACTTGGCATTGGAGACACTGTAAGTGATTCTTCTGTGGCCTGAAAGTGAATATGTACTGTTAGATGAATGTATAACATTTTATTGAATTAATTTGAGACTGTCAATTTTAGTCTACTCAATAACAAGCCGATAATATGAGTGAAAACTGTCACCAAATTGTCTAAATTTATCCATTATAAAGAAATAAATAAACTGTCAAAGAAAACAAATAAAACTGGTATTTTTATGATATTAGTATTGATTTTATTTGATTAGTAATGATTTTAACGTCTTTATTATTAGGGTTTGAAGTCTAAATCAGCTGATAGACAACCTGAATCAAAAGGTCTAACTTATAGACATTAACAGTACAATAAACTTATGGCATGTTTTTATTTCCTGAGTGTGCATGGTGTTATGTTGAACATAAATACTTTCACTTCCCCCAACTATTCATTTCTTGCCCTGTTCTATATTGTTCCATATTATCCAATATCAGCTATAAGATCAGTAATGAATGACAAAATGTAATGATGATAATAATAGGTATTAAGTCCAGTAGATAAGTGGAGAGATACTAACCAGTATTTCCAATATATAAGCCCCATTGCTGTTATTTGGATCCTCTCTGTCCAACTGATTGACAGTGTACACCACACCTGAGCTGCTATCTATATCAAAATGCTCTTCACCACCAGATATGATGCTATATGATATACGATTGTTGATGCCTCTATCACCATCAATAGCACGCACTGAAATTAAATTAGAAGTTATTTCATTTGTAATATTATTCACTATTATGTTACTGTCAATTCAAACATTGGTAAATAAACTTCTTCCAGTAACTTTTCTATTTGGAAGCACATGCAGCAGCATCAGCACATGAAATGGTATATGTATCCGAAATGTCATAATAGCTCCTGTGGTTGAGTATAATAAATACAGAATAATCTCTATATTGATAGTTAGTATTAGAAATTATTTTAATTATGCTTTTAATTTATTCAACCAATATATGTAATTCTAAATTGAATATAGATATATTCTTAACTGATTGGATATACAATACCTTTGATATGATTTTTAGTAGTAAATTATTGTAAAAAAAACTGGTGTAATAATTAATAATTTCATATGAATAATGCACTACGCATTATTCATATGAAATTATTAATAACTTTTTAAATTTGAAATAATTAGAATATGTTAGCAAATAACTAAGCTGCAATGTTTATTTACCTTGCAAAACAGAAGTTCCGATCGGTGCATCCTCGCTAATTCTAGTAACAGGGCTGGCAACAACAAACTCTGGCGGTTGGTCTTCTACGTCCTGTACCTTCACTAATATAGCTGCAGTACCCGTATTAACTCGTCCTTGATTCGCCCGGTCTACAGCCAACACACGGAGTTGATACAAGGATTTACGCTCGTAATCCAAACGATTGGTTAACCGGATCACTCCTTTTCCATTAACTGTTTGTACTGAAAAGTTTTCTATATCTCCATCCAATTCTTGGAGGTTGTACAAAACCTAAAATATAATTATATTCAATTATATTATTGTATTGAATTTGAAATAAATGTGAAATATTTTTATTTTCTTTGTCATTTTGTTTACATTTTTCTTTCGTATTCAGTATATGTCATTGTCATTTGAGTACTTTTGACTTTAAAATTGACATTATTTGTATATCAATCAATCAATCCTGCACAGAGTTTGTTCACTGAGCAAGTAACCACTAAGACATCTATGGAACCTAATGAAGTTTTCAATGAATTTTGTTATTTCGGATTTCAGATAACATCAAGTAGTTATGATGTAAACTTAATTATTGTTAACAAATTTCTTTTAAACAAACAAGTAATAATGAAATAAACTTGAGAAATGGGAGACATTAGCCTCAAATTAAGCATCGGATGTACTATTGTTATTAGTAACAAATGATAGGTAAGTAGGTACAAGGTTTATTGTAAATATATTTAGTTTTTATAAAATAATATATTTAATAAATTTTTCATAATTATAAAAATATAAACACATGTATATTGTTCGGGGATCGAGTCTTTGACCATTATTTGATAGTGCAGTGGTTTAAAACATTATTTCGCTCAGTAGTAACAAAAACTCATTATAAAATATTTAATCTGTTTTATAAGTTACTTGTCCATAAGCTCCTTCGTCAAGGTCTGTTGCTTCCACTGTAGCCAATATACCAGGCGGTGAATCTTCTTTCACGGTGATCGCGGAGGGATATGGTTTGAAAATGGGTTCGTTGTCATTTACATCTTCTACTAAGAGTAGAAAGCTCTGTGTGATGAAATTACCTTCCCCCAAATGACCATCGCTTAGTGTTAAGACAAAAGAGTATTCATCACGGGTCTAAAAGAAAAAAAAAACATTTAGGTAGCTGCATATTTTAAAATTATTATACATAAGGTCCCTTGTTCAATTTCATAAATAGAATAAGCACTTACACGAAGTTAGTTACTAGAGTGACTTAAGGTAGTGTTAGTCTAAAATTTATGGACCATAATCGTATCTGAATCCTCTTTCCAATATCCACTCGGAATTATACGGTTTTATTATTCATTAGGCTTATTATATCTATTTATTATATTAAGAACTTTCCTAGAGCCTACGTAACTATATGTCTGTCTAAACAAAGTTTATCACGAATAGCAATTTCTACTTTTTATCATATTAAGCATAGAAAGCTACGGGTTTTGAAAAAAATAAATACCTCTCTATCTAATTCCTTAACTAAATAAATATTAGCTTCGTTGGATGAAATGGCTTCTAATCTTAAAATATCACTACCCAATTGATCTTTAATTCCAAAATACAACGTGTCTCCATCTGGGTCAATACCACGCAGCCGGTATATTAAGCTACCTGAAATAGAATTAACGGTCTCAATGATTTCATGTAAAAGTGGTACAGGTTAATAGTTTATGTTAATTATACACAATTAATAATAAACATACTCGTATGTAGACCTTTGTAGGCGGAAGGTTGTAATGATACATAATGTGATTTTCTAGGGTACCAGTCGCTACTCGCGACTTCGTCTGTATAAACTTTCATTCCTTAATTCACCCCTTGTCAGATTATGTTTTCGATTAATTGATAAAATTTAATTGAGATCTTTTCTTTCAGTTTTTTACATGTGACAAGGTAACAAAAAAGCTGAAGGACAGACTTTAGCACTAAAAAAATATGAACAGTACCTAATTTAATATGTATATCTAGTCGAAGATGTAGTTGAATAAAATATATTAGGAAAATGAAAAACTCTATGAAATATTTTGTTATATGCAATTCTTCATGGTAGCAATACATGACTTTACACGCAACACATTTATATGAACCCAATGTTAAATCAATGATCTAGTCAAATGGATGGATGTACCTACATTTATTTTATGAATAGTGGACTACAATTTTATACTCAATATATAATACCTATGTAATATTAGGAGAGAATATATGAAGACATTTAAATGTTTTATTTTAAATTAGGTTAGGTTTATTATTATTAGGTTTAACAATTAAACGGTGAAGTTATAGATATATTGATATATCGATATACGATACCTACGTTTTTTTTTCATTTTCAATTATGTAGATACAACAGCTAGTTTACAGAAATGCAATAAGTTCATAAGTAAGTAGGGTAATACATGATAACAAGTAAATAACAAATCCTTAGTCATAATGTAGTTTAAACGATTAGCGAAGGTTCCATGAAGCGTGCCGGCGCGGCGGCAGTTGTAGGGTTTGATTGTGTCGGTTGGTACCTAGTTGTCTTGGTAACCCCACTTTACTGTTCCCCTACATGAACAGGTAATATCCGGTTGTCAGTTCCCTTTTTGTTCATATTATGTTTCTACTAAACGAGCTAAATTTTAACATAGACAATTTATTAAATGGATGCTTGAGAATCTTCATAGAAAAACTGTTGTATTACCTAATTGACTATTCACTTGATAACTGGATTTTGTATAGGATGAGATGCAAACTGACATGAATTCATAGAATTTTACATACATAGATACTCTAAAATTTAAAAGAAGGAAGTAATGATACATATTTTATGATTGTAATTATAAGATTAAGTCGGTACATAGCAAGTCGATTTTAAATATTATAATTGTAAGTAATAGTCCTAATACTTACTTATAATTACAATTCACTGAAGAAGACTGTTATAACAATAGGTGCAACGTTATTTCCATCAGGTAGATTGCCCTTTCAGAGTTTCTTGTAATCATTTACCACAATTCAACGTTATTATTAACTCTAATTAGCTCAGAGTTACAGTTGACCCACTAGTATAATAACTCTTACTTTTTAACTATAATAGGTTTATAATACTAACATAGGTAACTCGTGATACCACATAAATGAAGAGTCAATGTGTAATTCATGTTTTATTGGTTTATCTTATATATAAAATTCTCGTGTCACAGTTTTCGTTCCCATACTCCTCTGAAACGGCTTGACCGATTCTCATGAAATTTTGTGAGCGTATTGAGTAGGTCTGAGAATCGGCCAACATATATTTTTCATCCTCCTAAATGTTAGGGGTAGTCCACCCCTAAATTTTTTTTTTATTATAAGGCAAAACAACCTTTGCCGGGACAGCTAGTAATAATCTAAAAATGTTCATTGAGACAATATTTACCTAGATACTTCTAAGAAGGCATATGAAATTGATACAGTATATCTAAATAGTTAATTTATTGATAGAAATAAATTGTAGCTACTTACCAATTGGCGTATCTGGTCCTTCCTTAAGTCTAACGACAATCTCTGACTGGCCATCTATGAGGAAACGTGGTGGTCGGTTCGCTGCGACTATTTGAAGGAATGCCAACAGCCAGATTAGTGTGGTGTGAGTTGGTTTTAACCGAACTTTTGGCGTTTTGTCCCAGTCGGGATGCACCGTCTGGCGCATGGCGGATCACCTGGCACATCGAGCCCAGATATTTGTTGCCACCATGTGCATTTTCCTGGCAGTTTTCTTCGCACGGTTTCACCGTGAGAACATCGGAGCGTGCTCTACCGGTGAAAGTAATTGTCACCTCACGCTGCTGACTCTTCGAAATATTTGATGTTCTCTACGTGATGAAGAATTCGCGAGTAGCTGTAAGAAACAAGTGCTATGTTGTTTTATCGAAATCGAAAGTACCAGAAAGTGTCACTGACGAATCTACATCGATATGATAGGCGTATATTAGGTAATTAAATACCTACTTATCTGAATATAGGTCCTATAAATATGTCTAAATTGTTGTTGAATTAGAAAAAAACGATTTCAGTAAAATTTAGAAATACATACAAAAAGCAGAACAAAATGTAATAACCACCAATTTTATGCAAAATTATAAATATTATATAAAATATCTTATTCATACTTGAAAAATCAACGGTTCTATAAAGGAAGACACCAATGCCAGATAAACTCGAAAATAAACAAATTGTTATTAGACTACAAATTTTCAACAAAAGGGGTAGAATAATTCATATTATTTATTTTCGTATAAGCACAGATAATGTATACGTAAATATAATTACTATTCAATATAATTAATGCATTTATTAACTAATTGGTTCTTTATCGCATGCATTGTTTTCATATGCATATATATATGTGTGTGTGTGTGTATTTTAATACGTGGCAGGGACTGGGACTGTATTATTAAATAACTTCAGAACATCTAGTAATACATTAAGTACAATACGTATTTAAAAATTTTTGACAGTGATTAATGTTTTATTCATGTGTTCACAAAGGGGGTTAATGTATATGTGGGTTATCTTAAGAATGAACTAGCGCGTGTCAGAGGCTGAGCAATGCTAACCGGCGTATCTCATTGTCTCTGTTTGTAAACGCCTTGCTTGAGAAATCTAATCGAGTAATCAACATTATTTACGTCACATGTTTTTAATTACGAACATGATTGAAAGTCTAGTATCTAATTAAATCGTGCTTTTATTACAGGTTTCAAGGCTACAATATTAAGTTAATTCTTAGACGAAAGTTTATAAAGACGCTTAGATGAGTTTGTAAAATAAGCCACAATGCAATGGCCCCCTCCGATCGATCCAATTCAAACGGGGATCGATATTACGAAGGCCTGAGCCCAGGTTCGAATCCCTAGTGGTACCCTCAGACTAAAGTCGTATCCATCTGGCGGGAGTTGGCCTTCAACCGCTCCATAAGTCCTTCCGCGGGTTTGGAGTGCCATCTGCACTCGCCCCCTAATGTCTGGTGAAGCTGTAAATGCCAACTGCGGCCAACAGCATTAGAGGAGTCCAAAAAAAACAAGGCAATGGTTTTCTTGTTTGCATCTCTATGTACTTTGCAGGTACCCATAGCATTACTAACGATTGTTATTATTTAGTTCACTGACATTGGATGACATTGGATAGATTTTTGATACAATTAAGATGAAGTCAATTTAAAATAACAAAAAAGAACTTAGGTAATACTAGGTATAATTTATCAACGCCTACAGATATGTCTAGTATGGTACTGTGAATTAAATCATAAATTAATACTGCATTTAAAAAAAGTATATAAATTGTGGGAAATCGAATCTAAAGCTTTAACTTTAAACTCTAGCTCCAATATTGCCTAGCGTGCTATATTGTCTATCTAAGTTATTTTTCGCTTTTTCCGCCTGAGAACTAGAGACCTTATAGTTCTCAAGTATTACTAATATGTACTCCAAATTTTGTTTATATAATAAAATTAATTTAATGTATTGTATAATAAAATAAATTGATTTTGATAGTTCCGAGCAACAATATCAATGGCAGCAATGACCGACAAGAGGAAAAAACAAAGACTCCATAAAGTAGACAAAATAAAAAATGTAAACGGATAATAGAGAAAATGTAGTTAAGTAATAATAACAATAATATTATTATAATGAAACAATTGAATTTCCCTAGATTTCACATTGTATTAAGTCGATTAGATAACTATGGCTGCACAAGTATTCTTATAATGTCGTTTATTATTTTTAATTATAATTATGTAATGGTGGAAATTCCTACCTGCAACAGATTTTATAAAAATATGAGCTATATTCTGTGAATGTTTTATTTTTTAGTCTTGTTCATTTCTGGCTGAGTCCAATTGACAATAATAATAAAAAAAAACAGAGACTAGAGTGGAAAGCGAAGTCTACCGCTACAGTTTATAATTAGATATGTGGAAAAATGTTATTAGTATTGATCATTTATCAACTAATAAGGAACGTATGGCCTGTAATGGATATGATATATTTACTACGATATATTTTTAAACGACACGTCGTGCTATTATCATCATTATTACATTAAATTTATATATATATAAATTCTTCCAAAGAAAATTTGGGATATTATTGGTATGTTTATAGAGAGTTTGCTTCACATGGAGCCGCTTCAATTTGCCTTTACTTCTTTTAGTCTCTGACGTATATTCATACTATATCATCTATTTATATTGATATTCGTAGAATGCTCAAATAATCTACTTAATAACGGTAATAATTAAATTGATGGCAGATGTGACATATCGTAAGAGTCTGTAATATACACATATACATGGACTTTCTTCACAATTTTCTATAACATGCTTCCAAATTTCCCTTATATTCCTTTCCAGAAACTTCTGCCATCTATCCAGAGGTCATTAGATAACGAAATTTAATTTTATTGTTGAATAAATAGCACAGCAAATAAAAATCCCTGCTATGAGATTTGATTGTTTTGTAGAGTTCATTGAAATTGACGACACACATAGATCTTATATCAAACGGTATCAAATGTGTGATTCAGATTAACAAGGTTCATTCACACGAATCGCGCTCTTGCGAAACAATTGTAAATTACATAAAAAACAATTAAAAATGACCTCGCGCCCTCTGGCGGATGTGTAACGTACGCATTATCTAGGGTTGTTCCTAACCATATATTAGATAGAATGTAGATATGGTATATATTTGTTTTAAATTTTTAGAGAATGATACAAAGTAAATGTAAAGAAAATATATTGACATATCTTATCTTATATTATGATATAATCGACAATATTAGCAGTTTAAGGAATCAGTAGTATCTCGTCGAACAGCGGTATAATTAATTTGATTGACATGTATATGTCATACAGTTTTTTTTATTTTTGGCAGCCCTATTTCGAAAAACCATTGACGTATTTCGGCTATAACATCGTCCTGCGCCCGCACAGTGAAACAAAAGGGGCATCGAGCGCAACGGGTGCGAAGGCCAGCACCTATTGTGTATGAGTGAGACAGCTATCGGGGACTGACCTTTGTTTTTATCATTTATGAATTTTCGGTATGATTACTATTAATTTGTTATATTATTGTGATATATGGTACCCCATACTCAAATTTGCTATCTAAAACAAATATACTAGCTCATACTTGCGACTCTATTTGCTTTTTTGAGATAATATCTACTTGATCTATGTTCGTAATTGTAATACGATCTATTTTCGTAGTAAATTTAATTTCGATTCGTTGGACCGTTTAGCGTGGAAAGATAACAAAAGTTAAAAAACAGACAAACAGACGGACTTTCGCATTGATATTATTAATATTTACCCATATTAATAATTTCAGTGTACTTAGGTACTTAATATTTAGTAACTTTGTAACAGGTAGTCATTGATCAGTTAAAAAAGGACAGTAGATCTATTAAAGTGATCATATAGCGGAAAATACATGTATGAATATATAATAGAAATTTCGTACACACAAACTACTATCAATGTACATAAACATGTTTATTATTCATTCACAAATAAAGTCGATCAAATATTTCTGACTACCCCCATTGAGCTACAGTCGCATGGTTACTTTTTATCATAATTATTGTCCCATTGTCAGAATATAACCTTTCACTGTGAAGAAAGTTAAGAACCATAAAAATTTATGTCCCATTGAGCTATTATGTCCTAAGTACATAATACCTTAATGATGTAGCCGCAATGTATTGGTTAGTGACGAAACACATTATATGGTTAAATCTTTTATTTGGAAAGCCACGAACTAGCTCGCCATTACTATCCAGTTTTTTCTAAAGAATGCAGAAGGTAGTGAAATAATTCAGATTGTTGTAGAGTTTATATAGTCAGTAAAAAAGACCCAACTTGTGGAAGAATAAAGAATTCTATAGGTGACATACAATAGTCCTAATTGTTTACATGCTAGCTTAGAAAAAAATATTTAGATAATTCGCTCAAAGAATATTTAACCTGCTATCATAATTAATGTGTATACACGTTTTAGAATACACTCTTTTGACTATAAAAATACTAATTCAATATATGTATTGGTTTATATGTTAAATTGTAAGTTTTCTACATTGTTCTATGACGAGAATTGGTTTCTGTTTGCAAAGATTTACCTTAGACTCACTGATGTACCAGTGGAATCATGAGATTTTATTGATGACACTTGGATGATGCGTCATGAAGGTTCCAGGGTTAATAAAACAAAATAACTTAAACCTGTATCAATTTAAGTTTTTTGTTTTATTCGACATACTTTTTCTTCCTATTTACTGGTCATGCCATAATTTTATTTTGATAATTACGGAATTACTTTTCCATTTTTAATTCTGTAGAAGCTTATTTACAATGAAGTGCATATTACTGGTAGGTAGGTATACACATTCACATGTATAGAGAAGTCTTTACTTTTTTATTATAGAAAAGAATGCAAATGTATTTATGATTCTAAAAATTAATTTTAACTAAGTTTATTAATGGAAAGTGTTACAGTGACTCTAGAGCAAAGTATAAGTGGAAAGGAGCACGGCACTGTGGCCGAAATAAGAGAAAGCTTCCACCCTTCGCTAAACACATGAATAATATTAGAATTTACACCATTATGTTCATAATAATATAGGTATTTTTTATTTTATTACCTAAATGAAAGCTAAAATGCGTTGAGATAATATTTATAAGAGATTGACAGATAATTCTTTCTTTACTGTGATAACGATATTTAAAATTATAGTACTATATTTAGATATATCACAATTAATTTGTTGGAGCAGTGACAAAGGGCAATTGGTGTTTAAGTACCAAGTATTCTTTATACACGAGGTTTATATAAAGTTTTT